TCGGCCTTCACGGCGATGCGCCTCCTGCAGGCAGTCCGGGTGGCAGCCAGCTTGGTCCGGGGGGGCAACCAAGGGGATCACCCGGCGGGCCAGGCGGGCCCGACAAAGGCGCCCCTGGAGGTCCTGTGTGACAGGCGCCAGCTGGAGGATGCTTACGTGGCCATTCATGGGACCCCGAAGCCGAGGTTGGAGTTCCAAGGGAGTGATGGCTACCTCAAGAAGCAGTGGCGCTTGATTGCCAAGGGTGAGCTGGGCTACATCCCGGCGAAACACATCGTGAGCGCGCTCCCGGAAGAAGGGGAACGCCATCCACCCACAAGAAGATCACGGTGGACGGCTGGGACAGGGAGGATGAAGAAGAGGTGAGGAGCCACCCCACATCCCGGCGCCAGTTGGAACGTTTGCGCCAAACTTTCAGGACGACGCTCCTGATGTGCACGGCGGCACTGCCACAGTTTGGCAACCTGAAAGTCACCAAGGCGGAGCTGGACGATTGGTATGACTGGTTCTATGGGGAGGACATCGCTGGCAGAAGGCCTCCCCCGAGTGACACCACCTTGCTGTTTGCAGAGCGCAATGCGTGGAGGAAGATCCACGAGATGGTGCACCAGGGCACCACCCTCTCCGATGCCCTCAAGAATATCAGGGGCGACTTCCTCTTCTGGCAACGGGAGGTCTATGAGCACCTCAACAGGGCGCCGGAGAAGGGGAAGAACAAGGGCAAGGCACCTAAGGTGTGGCAGACTCAGTGGGAGAAGCCGAAGAAGGGGGGGAAAGGCGCATGGCCCTCGGGGCCGACCAGGTCCAAGCCAAAGGGCAAGGGCGGCAAAGGGAAGTCCCCCAACTCCCCCTCGGTTCCATGGCCGGACCACTGGGCTTTCAAGAATCCCAAAGGGGTGGCGTACTGCAGAGATCATCACCTCCACAACAAGTGTTCGGGATCGTGCGGCCGTTCCCACAACTGCCCGGTCAGGAAGGATGGGTGGGTGTGTGATGCCCCCCCATCGAAGCATGCTCCACAAACATGCCCTCACCTTCCCAAGTGACAGGAGGCCACCCAGGGTGCCATAGGCCCCGTGGCTTCCCGGTCTCAGTTGGGATCACAGGCCACCAGTGCGAGAGTGCACACAGAAGGGGAGAGCCAGCCCCACCAGAGCCACAGCGAATGGCAGACAGAGCGGGGGAGGCCAGGACGGCCTCAGATGGGAGGGGACTTCTCCAGGGTGCCACCGGCCCCGGAAGCCCCTCCACCGAAGAAGAGGAGCGGTCCCAGCCAGGGCACTCCAGAAGGGCGGAAGCATCCCTTTCCCCCGCACCCACCGAGGCAGTGGGTAGACCCCCCAGAGAGACCCAGAGGTGAGGATCCGCCCAGCAAGGGGCGCTCCAAGGGCGGGAAGAACCGCCAGGGCAAGCATCAAGCCCGGGGACAGATGACGGGGGGATCAGACAAAGGTAGCACGGAATCCCTAGGGGGGGCAAGCCCCACCTTCCCATGGATGCAGGACATCCCGGAAAGACTGAGGCTCAGACTGGGGTGGACGCCGAGGCCAGTGCCGGGGTCTTCAAAGCCGTCCCTCATCCTGCTGTACGCTGGGAAGGATGATGCGGGGGCCCTGGATGCCTACCTCCATGCCTACAACCCGGCCTTCTCGGGAGAAAGGGTGGAGACCTGGGCCAGGACATGCTGGGCAAGGAGCCTTACTCGACGATGTGCTCCATGGCCATGGCGGGTAAGGTCGCATTGGCCCCAACTGCAGGACGTGGAGCATCCTCAGGTGGTTCCCCAAACCGGGTGGCCCGCCGCCGGTGAGGGGCAGAGCAGAGCAGACCTTGTGGGGCTTAGAGGACTTGGAGCCCCGGGTTAGGGAGGACACGGACAATGACAGCGTGCTCATGCTCCGACAGATGTACCTGACCTCGCTGGCCTACAAGGGGCTAGGTCAGCTAACGGTCCCGCAGATTGGCTCCTCCTTCCTGGAGCACCCGATGGACCCAGAGGGTGAGTGCAGCGAGGTGCTCATCGATCTGGGTCACGCGGGCCTACGTTCAATGGGCGAGTGCACTCCACCACTCCCTCATCAAGTTCGATGAGTGCCGCCTGGGCCAGGTGGTTGTGAAGTCCACGGCGTTGTCAACGGACCTTCCTCTCCACCATTGGCATGACCTGCGTTGCAACCACGGGTCTCACCCCAGGGGAGAAAAGCTCAACTCCAGTGACCTCAGCCGGTACCCGGAGCAGATGATGCAGGGTCTCGCAGCGGCCATCCTTTGCCGAGCGGGACCCGTCCTGGAGGCGCTGAGACCGGGAGGCATGGCGCCCCAGGCTAACCCAACGACCCCCCCGAGGCGTCCAAGGGAACCTTCTCCCAGCACGCCGGGGGACAACAAGCGCCAGTCCCGAAGGCTGAAGGCGGGCCAACAAGCGTTGGCAGGTCTGACCTTGGGCTCACTTCCGGTCTCGGCCTCGGATAATCCAGAGGCGGGGACATCGACACAGAGGACTGGCGAGGTGGATGAACTTGGGGGGGGAACTCTTCCCCTGGATCCATGGGCACACCAGGGCATGGAGATCTCGGATCGGCCCACCATCCTGCCGATCACACACGACCCCAATATCTCCGACAAGGTCATGTACCTCCAGATGGCTTTCAAGCAGCGTCCCTTAAGAGACGGTGGTGGAAAGCCCTCATTGGGACGGTTGGCCCCGTGGGCCCGACCGCTGTCCAAAGCAGCAGCGCTGGGGGCCAAGATCTGTGTCCTCACTTCGCCGTGGGGGGACAAGCTCCAGGAGTCGCTCTCGTTGGGGGATCGGAGGACCTGCTGGTGCTGGAGGACATCAGGGAGATTCTGGCGCCGGGGGCAGGCCGACCAGCGGACGGCCAACCCTTCTTCCTGGACATCTTGCACAGCGTGGCGCTGAACATTCAGGACCCCGACCACCAGTTTCCCCGGGACCTGGAGCAAGGGGTCCCACTGGGGGTCACGGACCCACCCCTGACCTCGCCGCCGGAGTTCCAGGAACTCCCCCACCCGACGGGCAGGGGCAACTACCCCTCGGCGGATCACTTCAGCGATCTCATCCGGGGCACATTTCTGGAGGAGGTCCCCATGGGCATGGTGGAGGGCCCCTTCAGTAAGGAGGAGGCAGCATCGCGATGTGGCTGCGACAGCGAGGACCTTTGTCCCGGCCCCCTAGCGGGCATCGACGAGGGGGACAAGATCCGCACGATCTACGATGGCTCGGTGAGGGGCCAATGACACCATCAGGAACCAGACGGTGGAAAGGACGACGGCTCCGACGGTGCTGGATGGGGTTCAAGCTCTCCATTGGCTACATGCGGCAGCTGCGGAGGACCCCCCTCTCAGGGTGCCTCTGGCCCCGAGGGGGGGACTGTCAAACCTCCACCTGGGGGCTGGCTATGGCCGGAGCCGGGCACCAGGTGGGTGCTGCTCAAGGCGGACGTCACCAAGGCCCACCAGAAATTGAGGACTGGCGGTTCCAGGTGGCCTCACTGGGGGAAGAATGGTGGGTGAACAAGGTAGGCACATATGGCATGGCCAGTGCCCAATCCTACTGGGGACGCCTGGCAGCCCTTCTGCTCAGGGTCCTCTACGCACTTTTCCCTCAAGTGGATTGGAACTTCGTCTTCGTCGACGACTTCCTGTGGCTGCTTCGAAGCGAGGGGGCAGTGAACTTGGCGGTGGCGCTGCTGGCCACACTCCTGGCATTGGGCACCCCACTTAGCTGGAAGAAGACGCACTTGGCGGAGGTTAACACATGGCTGGGCTTCGTGGTCCACCCGAACATCCCGCAGGTTCTCATGGCAGCCAACAAACACATCCTGGTCATGGAGGTTTTGCAGACCATGGTGGAAGGGCAGGCGATGCACTCAAAGGACATCGAGAAGGCCCTGGGCCGCATCCAATGGGCAACGGCTGCATGTCCGCTGGCGAAGTCGATGCTCCAGCCACTTTGGGCCTGGAAGATGGCCACCACCACGGTGGGGAAACCCCCCAAGGTGGTCAGGATGCTGGCGTTCATGCTGCGGTTCCTCTTCAACACGCCTTTCGTCCAGTACTCCCCCTACTTGCCAAAGTCCTCTTGGTGGGGTTGCAGCGACGCTAGCGCCTCGGACGACGGACTGGCATTTGTGGGAGGTTGGTGCTCCAACACAGTGGAACCGGACAAGAAGGAGGTGTACTGGTTCCACGAGCAGATCCACGTGGAGGAGTACCCTTGGGCTTTCAAGAATGGGGATCCAAAGCGGAGGATTGCAGCTCTGGAGATGCTGGGCACGCTCTTCCTCTGTAACATGATCCTCACGCACCAAGGCCCTCTGTCCTCCCGGGTCCGACTCCCGGTGGGCAGTGACAATCAGGGCAACGTCATGGCGATGCTCAACCTTGGATCCAAGAAGCCCTACACGGCGGCGATCCTGATGGAGCTGGTCTTCCTGCTCCACACCCATGGCTGCTCGCTGGCGGCCAACCATGTGCCCCGTGAATTCAATCAATGGGCTGATGAGCTGACGCACCCGGATTTCTCTGGGTTCGACCCTTTGCAAAGGGTCCCCAAGCAGGAACTCTGTGAGGAGTTTGTTTTTCTCCCGCGTCTCCTGAATGGAGATGCATTTGATCTCAGCGTGGGCCCACCCATGCTCCCGTGACCGGAGCCGGTGGGTGACTCACTTCCCCTGGTGGCAGACCCCCCTGTGGCCTGGGTGCCACGGGCCCCGGCTCAGGGGCGGGCGCTATCAGTCTGCACACCCGTTCTTCAGTTTTTGAGAATTGTGAGTTGGGTGGCCCATGGGGCCCACCCAGCGTTGGTCATCTGACAGGGGAAGATGAGTCCCTGGCACCAACACACTGCTCGGATGAAAGAGTTATCGCGTGCTCGTGTGTGGTGCCGTTTGGTTAGCTTGCATACACTTGCCGAAATTCTTAGGTGCTCCATGCGCATGTTTCTTTCTCCGTGCTAGGAGATGGCCGAGGAGGATGCCATGGAGGCCGGTTGTGGGGCACTTTTCTTTTTGTGCGCGTGTGTCTGTGAGAAAGGGACACCAATGGGAAACCGGACATGTTGTAAGCTTCCCTATTAAATTACAATCCCTAATACGCACATGCGATGTGGGGTGTAGCGCAACGTCAACTGAAACATGTGTCACATGGCAATTCAATGCGTTGTGCAATTCAATGTTGTTCAATGATGGCATACAGTGTTGGGATTTGGTGTGGTGTGCATTTTCCTGAACATTCAGATGCAACGTGCAGCACTTATCAGTTGTCGCATTGCCATGGCTTGAGTTTGGATGTGGCCCTTGCCACATTGCATCGCATGCATTTTACTGCGTTGCACGGTATTTCATTGGTTTTTGGCAATTTTCATGAATGGGGTTGATCTTCAACTGGGTTCGGGGCACATCAAGTATCTGCCGAGGGGTCCACCAGAGCCGATCCCAGGGATGCAGCTAAGATTAGCCGCATCCCTGGCCACTTTGAATCTCCTCTCGATCTCCAATGCAGGTTTTGAACACCACTGGCACGCGCGCGAAGATCTTGCAGGCCGGAAGTTTCTCGGGTCAGCTGGGCAAGGCAAGCAGCGGGGTTCCGTTTGCTGCCATCTCCCTGAAGGCCAAACAAGGTTGGGCAGAGGCAGCACTTGGCAAGTGCGTTTGCTGGCAGAGCGCTCGTTGTCGCATTTTTGGCAGTTGCTCGTGCTGGCCCTTTGGCGAAACGACTCTTCCCTGATCATAAGGCGGTTGAGAGGCACTGGACGGTGCTGGCGATGTCGTTTTGGGCACACAGTATCTCTTTTCCTGAAATGTAGGGGCCCTGTTCGTAGGTCCTGGCATGCAGGAGCATGCTTGAACACCTTGCACACAGCTGGGACCCATGGGAGGAAGTGGCAGTTGTGGGATTGCTGAGCCCTGTGTTTTTTTCCAAGCTTTGCTATTTTTGGCGAATGCGGCAGCGGCTTCCTTTTTGGAGCGGCGTTCGCTAGTGGCAGGGGCAGACGAGCTTCCAGGAATTCGAATGTTGCTCTGTGATACTCATTTTCGGGATGCTGTGCAGAGGCATGCAGAGTTCGGGTTGAACAACCCCACATTTACTCATGCAGCGGTTCGGAAGTTGTGATCCGGAGTACCCGTGACTCTTTCCAATGCTGGCGCTTGGCTAGATCAGGCGATTGAACTTTGCTTTGTGCATGTTCCGGGAAGGGAACATGCCAATGCCAATTGTCACCATCAACTTCTTGAAAGCGTAGGACTTACAACCGCCAGGACGCCCCAACATGTTCTTGAACGGAGGCGCCGAACAAGAACCTCTCGTTCTCCATTGCACTCATCCAGCCGTTTTGTCCTCAACTTCATAGCCCTTCCCTGCTTCTCTTAGACTACTTTGAGGATGCTGGACGCGTCCTCACTGAAAATTCGGCCCTTTCCCCCCAAAGACGAAGTGGAGGCGATCCCCGTGGTGCACCCCCAGAACGGCGAGACCGTGGCTCTGCAGCTGCTGCTCTCAGGCGTGGAAGACGCCCTGCCGCCGATGTTGACGCCGGGAGTGGCATTTCGCATGTCCTCCAGAAGTCGGGCGGGTTTGGGGACAGCCCCTTCCCCGTTTTGAAAGGAATTGCTGGAGGGTGGCCTTCACAGAAGACTGGCGGGCCTGTATTTGCATCTTCATGTGGGCTATTATGGTTGCCACAAGTAAAAACAGGAGTCATATATTTTGATTTTTCCACACACATGCCTTGTCCAAGGCCTGCAAATCAAAGAGTGACGGGATGCGCTGGCAATGGCTCTTCAGGTTGGGCGAGAGATGCACAAACGCTTAACGAGCATGCGGCCTGAGGCCAGACATGTCAAACGCGGTCGTGAACTCTCAACGCATAATTTGACCTACTGCAGGCGGTTGCGCTTGCAGATCGTATTGAATTCAATTGGCTTAGGGCAGCTGCCACTCGCCTTCCAGGGCTGGAAATCGTGCAGCTGGAGAAGGTCTTGAATAAAGGCCCCCCGCTGCAGGCGGGACAGCGAGGGGATTTTTCGACGCAAATGGCGGGGCTGGTTTGAATGCTGCGTTTCACAACCGGTGCGCCAAGTTCAATTCAGTAAATGGTATGAGCACCCTTTGGTTGGAGCAGAGGCTTTGTGACACCTTTCCTGCATCTCCGCGTTGACCCGGGACTTGGCGACATAAAGGCAGGCTGCTTCTCATCGGCATCCTTGCCAGGGTATTTTCTGGAGCTCCACCCAAACGCTTGAACCCGAATGCCAGGCAGAAACGGTTGGAGTAGGTGCGGTGGATGCGATTCCATGGTTGAAGCTTGATTTGACCCGACAGCGGGTGAGATCCGACGTGTTGGCCATGGGGCATCCCTTGATGGCTTCTCCATGCCACATCCGAAATGCAAAAGGGGTCTGCCTTTTGCGCATACCCTTTTGTGGGTTGTTTTAAAGGGAAAGCCAGAAAGACAAGCGAAGCGTCAATTTGCGCAGGTGCAGATTGCCCAGGTCGCGTATGAGGATGATGGCCAGGAGCTACGGATTGGGGTGATGTTCTGCGAGAGTTGCCTCTGGCACTTGTGAGAGGTGTTTGGTTCGGCTGGGGGGCCTGCCATGCACGGCCACGCATATCGTGCACGCATGCGCATGCACGTGTTCACAGCCGGTTGAGTTTGGGCAGGACCAGGAGATGTTGAAGGCCACGGTGAAGGAGACCATGCAGACCGTGAAGGAGCGCCCGTCGCTGGGAGCGTCGGTCGCTGGGTGCTGGTCGCTGAGGGGTCACTTGGACGAGTGGCAAACGCAGGTCAGGCGCTAGGTTTGCGGCGCCTAGTTCAGCTTGCATATCTTGGCTTTATCCACGGCACCGAATCATCCCAGGTGAAATGGGATCCGTCGTCAAAGCTGACTTGGATTCAATGTTTATTGTGCCTTTGCATTCTTTGGCATCCTTTGGCATGTTCGCCAAAGGCAAAGCAGCCCAGTTTCGGTGCACAATGCGTAATGATCCCTTGCTGACTGCAAGCTAGCATTTTGCTTGTCGAGACAACGAGCCCTGTGAAGTCACAGCCCAGAACCTTGGCGAGATGCGTCGCATTTGGCGCATCACCTCGGCTTCGCCTGGGATGTACCTTTTTTTTCTCCGAAGACTCCTTTGTGAACATCGAGAGTCTGCACGTTTCCAGTTGTTTACTGCTGACCAAGTTCAGTCCACATTCGCACCCCGCCCAGGACATCATGAAGGTGAACCCTAGTTTTCGCCGGCGGCCTGAGGAGGGTGTTCTCCCTTTCTCTGTCTTTGTCTCTTTCCTTTGTCTTCTCTTTCTATTTGTCAGTGTTTGTTTCCCTTGGTCCTTTCTTCTTCTTTCTTCCTTTTTCGTTCTTTGTCTCTCTGTCTGTCTGTCTGTCTGCCTGCCTGTCTGTCTGTCTGTCTGTCTGTCGGTCCGTCCGTCCGTCCGTCTGCCTGCCTGCCTGCCTGCCTGTCTGTCTGCCTGTCTGTCTTGCTGTCTTTCTGTCTGTCTGTCTGTCTGTCTGTCTGTCTGTCTGTCTGTCTGTCTGTCTGTCTGTCTGTCTGTCTGTCTGTCTGTCTGTCTGTCTGTCTGTGTCTGTCTGTCTGTCTGTCTGTCTGTCTGTCTGTCTGTCTGTCTGTCTGTCTGTCTGTCTTCCCTTCCTTCCTTCCTTCCTTCCTTCCTTCCTTCTTTCTTTCTTGCTTTGTTCCGTTTCTTTCTTTTATCACACTTATTCTTTCTTTGTCTTTTTCTATTTCTATCTCGTGTTTCTTTTGTTCTTTCTTTCTTCCTTCGACTTCAACTCTTTACATCTGTGTACCTTGTACGGGGATCCAAAGACCCTGATACTCGGCATTCACGAGGACTGCTATTCTCTGTTTCTTGGTAGGAGCGTTTTGGTTGTGACTATCACTTTTTCCTGGCTTGATGCTTCCCCTTCCAGCGCTTTGTAATCAACCCTTGGACAAGAACTTGGAACTATGCCCGACCTGCTGCTCTGGGGCTATTCAGTACACGCAGATCTCGCAGTGAGGTTTTGGGCCGAAAGGGAGATGTTGCAGGGCCTACGAAGCGCTGCTTCGTCAGCTGGTTCCAGAACAAATGCATATGATCAGGGTGCCCCAGCAGCTTTTCCGAGCAACTTGTCGAACTTCGCCTCGCCTAAATTGCTACCATGCAGTTACCGTCCCCTTGGTTGTGCCGAATCCACCAAAAGGAAATTGCATTGCTTCAGATCTCTGGAACGGGGATACCAGCAACGGCTTGCTTGGAACTGAGGGGAGTACGCGGCCATGATCAACCAGCAGTACGAGCGCATGATGCAGGCTCCGCGAGTCTCGCGAGTCTGCGCCACAAAGGGTCGAGCCAGTTGCCTCCGTGGACGTATGGGTCACCAATTCACGAGGCTCCTCAGAAGGCATCACGCACCACTGTTGAAACCTGTACGCGTTCTCAGTTTTTTTTTTTGCGTCGCGGGCCATCTTGTTGGTGCCCCAGATCTTCTGCTTCTTGACACTTACCATAGCTCTCCATCTTGCCACTCAGGCCAGTTCCCCAGGCCTTTCTTTCCGTTTCCGAAGGAGTGTGTTTGTTCCTGGATTAGGGGCTTCAGGCTTTCGGCACGCCAGGTTTTGAACCTCACCTTTTGGACAGACACACTTATTTGGTGAGTCCTTTGTGTGGAGCGATGTTTCTGGAACTCATTTTACAGCTGTTTTTGTGGGAAGCCTATGAATCTGCTCCGAGTGCCCAAAAGCTGATCAAGCCAAGGTAACAATGGGGAAGGGCTTCGGTCACAAGTTGTCTACCCCAAACCGGTGGGGTCGACTGGGAGCAAGGAAGGCTTTATTCCCGACGGCCCGCTCACGGCTCAGCCTGCCTGCCCTTCTCACAAACCTGCTGGTTGTCGGTTGCAAAGATGGAGGCATAACACCCAGTCCAACCCAATGTCCCCGGTTCCCACAAAAAAAAAGGCTGAAGCCATAACCAGGCCCTCAGAAACCGGGCAGCAACTCCAAAAAGACAAGACTTTGAAGAGATCCACAAAAAAGCCGGTGTGAGCAGACTTGTGCAAATGCCGCACATTGGTGGCACACGGTTCAGAAGCCTTTTCCGTCGATGCGTCCCTGGCGCGTGGCTGAAAAGCTCCAGGTGAACCCCCACATGGTGGCGCACTTCGCAGCCAGCATGACCACCGCGGAGGCCCAGGAGCTTCAGAAGGCCGCGCGCGGGGGTTCCGAACAAAAAGGGTGCCCTCAACCGACACATCCCTAAGGAGGCTTCCTGGAGCCAATCAAGAACGAGGGTTTGTGCTTTTCAGGAGCCAAATTGGCAAGAGCCGAAAGGCCTGCTATGCTTTCAACTTTCAGCACTTTCTGCAAAATAGCATGTAATTTTTGCAAGCGCCGATGTGGCACCCCGCTGAGTTTCCTCAATTTTCTTGCGGTGTTGAGAAACGGGAGAACTAGGACAAGGGGCGCCACATGACCTAGTGCAATAAAATGGTAAGAGTCCTCCTCGCTCGAGCAGGTCAAAGTCTTTGGTGGGAGAGCCAGTTTGAATGACCCGCCAGCATTTGAGCCGCCATTCCAGTACTTTGAAAAGTACTTTTTCAAGCAAATTGCTTAATGATCAGGGCAGAACAAAGCTTGTTTATATGAAAAGACAAGCTATGGTTCTCATACCTGGCTTCAGTTTGGCTATGGCAAGGGGTGTGCAGGGTGTCCAAAAGTCAACAGGCTTTGGGCTGCCCTGCTCAGTTGAACTTCTTGCCGACGCTTCGTTCAACTAGCAGTGGGCAGCTAGTTGGCCAAAGGGGAGCAGAGAAGCAGCAAAATGCATACTCAAGAGTTTGAGACATGAGTTTATGGTGGCTGGTACTGGTGCCGATTCCTCATCCATCAATTGTTTATCAAGGGGCATTTTTTGCAGAATTGTGGACTGGTGTGGGTGAACCTTGGCAGTTCCCTCAAGCTCCCAAGGAAGCCGCAATATTTTTTTCCCGATTCCTCTCCAAATCGAGTGGTTTTGGCACTTACCCTGGTAGGTTGCGGGTGAGGTGACCAAATCTGGCGGGCGCTTCCTTGAGCTAAACGCGCCTTTGGACCCTCCGTTGAGCTTTCGCTGTGCCAGGTCCTTGAGGCGACAAACGCGCAGGACAAGCTGAGGACGCCGGATGTCTCTAGCCGAAGGGACATGCTATGCTCAGCGAGGGCGCTTCCTCTTCTTTCTCCACCTATGAGTGAAAGCTGTAGGGTTCTAGCAGAGAGCTGCAAGGGCGCTGCTGGAGTGTGTGACAGATTTTCATGCATCGCTGGTTCCCAATCCCCGCTTGCAGTTGGGGACGGTTGGTGCGGTTCCAAGCAGTAACCGTAACTGTCGCAACCAGCCTTGGGATGGGGATTGGAACCTCAACTTCAACCCCGTCCTGGGGAAGCTTATCTTCTGAGACACAACCAACCGCCCACCTTCCAACAACTCAAACCACCACTGCATTTTTGGAATGAGCCGACAGGATCGCCCTGGAGCTTTTGAAGAAGGAGCTGGAGCTATCCAAGCTGCAGCAGAAGATCGCCAATCAGATCGAGGAGTCGGGCTGTCGAGACCCGCGATTCTTTTGCGCGAGCCAGGGCTGGGGGTTGAACGGACATTCCAGGAACTTTTGGCGTGTGGTCAACAAGGGCTTGCCAATGCCGGACATGTTGAGTTCAGTTTTGGTGAGGTGCTGATAGAGGGGGTTTTGTCAGGGAAGTCAGCTGCAGGGACGTTGCAGTGGACCCTGACCATCTGACGCTGACGATTCAGGAGCTGAAGTCTAAGTCACAAGAGGCATGGCCAGGCCATCAGCTTCAAATATTGAACCAGCCGAACGTCTCAGTCAGAACACAACCCCGTCACAGGAGAAGATGTCCAAGCACCAGCGGGAGTTCATGCTGAGGGAGCAGTTGAAACAAATCAAGCGCCTTGCCCAGTGGCGGGTGGGCGGGTGGGGTAGGGTGGGAGTTCCTTTCTGAGAGATGCAATCAAGCTCCAGATGCCTGTAGATGAGTCACTGACAGTGTTTTTGGCGTCTAGTTGGTTTGAGGACGACGAGAAGGGGGGACAACACAAATCAGAGTTGCTTGGAAAGCCACAATCGGTGTTAACTTGAGTAAAGTGAAGTGGCGCGGGGGACAACCTTTCCATGTTCTTAGGACAGTTTATCTGCTCAGATGACGGAAGACCAGGGCTAGATTGTTTTTGAAACAATCATTGTCGCTGGAGGAAGCCTTGGTTTGAACTCCCTCTACTTGGGGGGGGGGGGGGAGCAAGAAAGCAAGGTATTGTTTTTAGTGGTGATGAGGCAACTCATCTGCACGTTACTGGTGGCATAGGTTTGCACTGATTGCGCAGAGAGGCATACTGGATATGGACAGTCTTTTCATTGCAAAAAGCATGCAAAAGACATCCCCGTGAAGGGCTCTGTTTGAAAGGCTAGCGTTTGTTTCTTGCACAACCCAAGCTGGACACATTGTTGAAATTCGGGGGCCCAGACCATCTATGGAAACCCGCAGTTGAAAGGGGCTGTGTCGAGGTTCTTGCAATTTTGCGGCAACTAGTCAAAGACATTTTCCAAAGCAGGTTTCTTGTTTTGCTTATTTGATGCATTTTTGTATCTTAGCTGTGTGGTTTCTTGTTGTGTGTGTGTGTGTGATTGTGAGCTTCAGCATGATTTCCTGGTCCATTCCATAGGTTGGTGTGCATGTCAGGAAGGAGCTGGGCATTGACAAAGACGACGGCTCGGAATCTTGGACAGCAATGATCGATGTCTCTGTCAATCGAGAAGCAGGTCGCACGGGGGAGTTTCGCAACAGTCCCTCAGACCAATATAGAAATGTGCGTATCTCCACGCAGTGGACCAACATCAAAGGGACCAACATCACTGCCCACAGCCCCAGTCAATCACTTACTTACCATCATCATCACCACCATCATGAATCATCATCATCATCATCATCATCATCATCATCATCGTCATCATCATCGTCATCATCCTAGTGTGACACAACTTCAAGCGCACGAGATTGGATGGGAGGTAGTCGACATCCTAGACGACCGACTGCATCCACCAATCCAGAAAAGAGCGGGCCATTTTTCCATGAGGTCGATCCGGAATAATTGATGATCATTGTCTACGCAGGATTTGCAGCAACAGACTGTCGACAAGCTGATCCCACGGACTTCTTGTGTTGGGGTTGAAAGCTTGCAGGGTGCGGATCGTACTTTCCTCCTTTTTTTGTTCTCGGCACCTTGAGCGCATTTGCGCTGGGGCGGTTGGGGAAAGCAGTGGATCGAGGACACATTGCTCCAGAAATTCAAGGAGCGGCTAGAGGGGAAGACCTTGCCCAAGGAGGTCCAGGAGGCTCAAGCAGCTGGTTGCTGGGTCAATTCTTCGGCTGGTTTCCGCCAAATGAATGGGTATGGGGGAATGCCCTCAGCATTGGTTGGACAGATTCCTCTGTGGGTGATTCTCAGAAAGGCGCTCGCCTAACATGGGCGGTTTCCTTCTTATGTCCCTTTAAGTGCCAACAAAAAGGGTCCACCATTTCGAACAACTGCCATGTACACGATGTCAGCAGGGTTTCCAATGAAGCTTGGGTTTGCTTGGAAGTCGGGCCCTGAAGCTTCTGTTTTAGCATTCCGCACCACGATTTATGAACTTTTTAGGCAAAGCTTGTGCCATTTCATGTCTTTCTTTATTGGACCTCATGGACTGCTTGTAAATCCAGGGCGGCATGAGCTGTCCAACTTCTCCTTTTGGACTTGTAGTCCCACATTGTATAAGAGAATCATTAGCGTCTCCAGATGTTTCGGAGCCCTGCACCGCCTGAAGGAGAACGTTCGCATCGCACCTTGCGCTGCCAACCTACCATTGATTCTGCGAAAGGTACCCACGCACACACACACACACACCCAACCGCACAATTGACACCATCCTGCCCCACCCTCACGAGTCGGTGTCCAACATTGAACTAGGGGCGCGGCTCGTGCCCTATGACTCTTATGTGGGTCACACGCTGAGGCGGCGCAGGATTTCTGCCCTTCATCGTTGTGCTAGCTACGAGGTAACCAGACACACCTTTTTGTTGGCTGTTTCTGGCCCAGAAGTAAGCTGTAAAGTTGAGAAAGTCCAATGGGTTACCCGCACCGCGGCCTCGCACAGGCGATCGACTCGGAGGTGGACAAGTTCTCCAACCTTGCGAAGGCGGGGAGCTGACGGGGAGATGGTTTTTGGGTCAAACAACGGTTGGGTTGGGGGGGTTTAAGGTAGCGCCAGGAAACCAGACTCGGCTAGCTGGTTTTGATAGCGTGGAGCACTCAGATCTTGTCCGAGGGCAACCAAATGATTCCATTTCTTATCCTTTATGTTTCTAAGGTCCCGCTTCCCATTAATCCAAAAGGAAACTGGAAAGGATGACTTCGCTAGGGTGACATCGAAATTCCCCCGCTGCTCCGGCCCTTTCTCTCAATCCAACGGAGCCCCAGTCGGGTCCGGTCGTGCGAGCCATCCTTCGGATGTCGGGATGTGAACATTAAAACCAGCTAACCAGGGCAAGCCATCAGGTGAAGCCACGCATGCAGACACTGCCAGTTCAACGTTTTTTGCTTGGGGGCTGCCTGCCATCCCAGGAGTCCCAGGAGTATCAGATTACCCGGAACTACTTGGACTGGCTCACGGGCATGCCCTGGGGCGTGTACAGCAAGGACGGCAGCAAGTTGCTGGGTCCTGGTTGGTGTTTCAGGGTGCCAAAAGCAGTTCAAGGTGTTGTTGAATATTTCTTGAACATAGACGAGCACCGCCCCATCGGCAGTGGGCCGAATGGCATCGTGGCCCGGCCTGGCCCGGCCCAAGCCTGGCCCCGGCCCCGACCCCAGCCCCGCAAAAGGAATCTCGAAACCAGAGCAACCGCCGATTTTGCTGTACCGCGCCCGTGGAACAACTAATCAATAGCAGTCGAGAGTTTTGTCCTACCTTTTAGTGAAACGTGCTTTCTTGGCATTTTTTGAGTCAATAAAACAGCTGCCCCAGTTCATTAGTTCAAGTGTTTCGCTGGGTCATCGCACGCCGTTCCTTTGTTGTGAACGACGAGGGGTCGGCGGATTAGTTGTTGACGCAGATGATAAGGGGTCCGATTTGTGGACTTCTCTTTTTGGCTGTCATGAAATGTGATTTCTTGTTCATTCGGCATCTTCCAAGGTGTCTATCTGAGTCAAAGCGACATTGGTTCTCAGGGTAACATGTTTCAATACACATCCTCAGCTGGCGTTTGTTGCGTTCTGAAAAGTGCAGGCTCGTAAAGTGGTAGTGCCGACTCCAGCCATGCGCCTCAAAGCCGGGGCAAATCGTTGCATCTCTGGGGCTTTGTTCTTCCAACGAGCAACTGCATTTTGACAGGGAATGATGCATACATAGGCAGCCTAGGCAGATTAAAATTATAGCGATGCTGCCAGGGGGGTGGGGGGTTTGCCACGTCACCCACAGTGAAGGTTCTTCTCTTGGAGATCTTGTATTTTGATTGATGAATTGGAACAATCATAGTTGGCATTGATACATGCTTGCATCAGATCCTCATACGCCCCCCCACTGAAGAGCATCCTTTTCTATTATTGTTGTTATATTTGTTCCCCACAGATATGAAACTACCCACTAGAAGTCAGACCTTCCATGAAACCACTTCCCGTCGCACGTCCGCTGCGAGGACACTTTCGACCTGAAGAAGGCGCGGGAGATTTTGGACCGGGACCACTACGGCCTGTCCGACATCAAGGAGGGTCTGCCTGGGCCAACCGAATCGACGACTGGCATATTAGGGTGTCCTGTTTACCCCTTTTGGGGTTTGTTTTGAGAGAAGGCAAATGAAAACGACCCATTTTGGGGGTACCTCTGAGAGCCACCCCAAAGCAAATGACTCCTCTCGCGAGAGGGGTCCTTAGTAGGGGATACGGGAATATCTTTGGACCTCCATAGGGTTCTTGGCGATATGGTAATACCGGAGCAAAATTCAACCGACTCATCACAGGCAAGCACCGTCTTGCGGGTTTGGGGCAAGCGCTAAGTTATTCGCATGGTTTTGCAGCCCCATTGTTGGCACCGGGCTGTCTAACCATTGGGAGAAGGGGGGGTGAGACCAGACGCAGGGGGAGGGGGGGGGCATTGGGGCTTGCGCAAGGACCGCATCAGGGAGTTCATCGCGGTGGGTGTTCTGAAGGGGTCGATGCAAGGCGGGAGCGGATCGCGGAGCATCCCAGCATCCAAGGTGGTCCTGTCCTTTTTTTGGGGAAAGAGGAAATCCTTTTTGAGGATTACACCATTTAGAGGCAAAACCCAGGCGAGTCACAATCAAAGCCATCTCGGGTAAAGTGAAGGTAAGTCCCGTTGCCATGAGCAGGTGCGGATATCCTCCCTTCGCAGTCTTTACGTGATTTTGGGCATGCCACTTTAATATCATTGTTTCCGGAAGGTGGGTTGCCAGCTCAGCAGTCCAAACATGAGCCAGCAGCCGATGCATGTGTCACGGTTTCAAGCATATTTTTCCTTTAGGGGTTGTTGGGACAGGAGTCTGTGGCGCTCTCTGGCTGATTGCGCGCCTGCGTTGCTTCTCTCCCGCTCTTTTCGAAGCAACCGGAGATGGCGCGAGACGTCCAGGGCTTGCCTTTTTTTTTTTTTTTCTTCTGCCCTTAGAAAGCAAAGGGGGCCTGAAGTGTAGAACCTTTCTTTGGATCTTCATATGTTCTTGTTTGTGCTGGGTCCAGTGACTAGCAAGGCTGAGTGCCATACCCCGGGATTCTTCGGCACCCTTGCACCCGGGTTGTCTCAAATTTGAACCATCATGGGTTTCCCTTTGATTTCCCTCTACCAGCCCAAGGGTAACTCAAAAACACCAACCCCCCCTTGGGCAACCCACAAGAGACTGGCCTCTGCCAGGAAAGATCCTTTGCTTCGTGGGGCCGCCTGGTGTGGGCAAAACCTCCATCGGCAAGTCCATCGCAGAGGAGCGACGCCGAACTCGGCGGTGCGCACCGGTCGCGATGCGATGGCGCGCTTTGGAGTCTCAAGTCGCCCAAGCGGCCAATGTTGACGCTGGAGTTACAAGCTGAATTCCGAGGGTGTTCCCCCCGAAGCAAAGGATACCCTCATGGGAGCATTCACCAACCACAGGTATATTCCCTGGTTTCCATCAGTGCGTAGAGCCCAAACCATAAACAGTGGCTGCCCAGAAATTTGTTACATGGCTGTGGGGCAAAACCAATGGTGCCATTTTGGTATATATAGGTGAATACCCATCAGTCCACTTTAGTGGGAATTGGGATGTTAACTGGGGGTACGATTCGGGTTTTGACCCCTGGCCACATAGGTTTGGGTGGACCACTTTACCGCGCCAGGCCTTGGGCCGGGAGTTCCACCGCTTCTCCGTGGGGGGCTTGTACGACGTGGCTGAGATCAAGGGCCACCGCCGGACCTACGCCCGGACGCTCACCCTGGTCACGTCGGATTTTTTTGCCAGGGATTTCCCAGAACACAAACATTTTTTGGGAAGTCTTCAAAATCGAGGCTTTGTCTCCTTGTGCCGTATGATAGCGGTTTCCCTTGTGTCCCACTTTGGATTACGGATTCGAGATCCCAGAAGATGGTCCTGACTACACACACACACACATTCCCACGCCCCGGAGCTATTGCGGTGTGGTAAGGGGGTGGCTGGATGTAACTGAAGCCGATGGATGGCCGCCGGCTGTGGACTTTTCGATGTTGTAGTTGATGGCCCAGCCATGTTAAATCATAGTCACTGAAGGTCAACCCTTTGGATATGTATCGAATACGTGTAAATGTACCCACCACCAGATTGAACACAAGCATGTAGTACTTGTCGAGGCGAAACCGTATGTCTCATGGCCGGAGCAAAGCTTGCCAAGCTGCAGGAACATGGAACATATGCAAACATGGCTTGTTACAAGAATTCTTCAGCAGCAACCAAAACACCGATTCAAGCCATTCACAAACCAAAGCAGTGTATCTACACTCACAAAGACAAACAAGCACTGCAGAGCTACCACACTTCAGAGCAGCCAAAAGGTTCGGTTTGTTTTTCTATTTGATCACAAGCAATGGTAGGGCTTGCGCCTTTTCGGCGGTGGTTGGATTCAGAGAGCGGCCACAAACAGGGGCAAATGGCACTGGAGTTTGAGCATTGCGCTTTCCGTGTTTGTCTTCAGATTTTAGATCCATGGCACCCACGAAACGGGCTTCGCTTTCAATTTGGCTGTCCACCAAAAAAACCCAGAAAAGCAAGGGAGTGCAACGCCCTTTTTTCTTCTGACGGCATCCGGCAGTGCGGCAGGTGGGCGCGATGCCCGGAAAGGTGATCCAATGTCTCAAGAAGCTTCAGACCTCGAACCCTCTGATCCTCATTGACGAGGCGCGGGAGGGTCCGGAGAGATGTAAGGGGATTCAGGGGAGCACTGTTCCAAACCGCAAATGTTCGCCATTGCCAAAAGGAGGGTCGCTTTCATGTGCTCGCCAATCTTAGGATAAATTCCGATTCAGAAACTGGGCTGGAGTCAGACACTTAAGACCGACCGATTCAGAAACTTGGGGTTCGGGAACTTTGCAGTGTATCTGATACCACTTGCAGCAGTCTAGCCGGCACATTGGCAGGAGTCTACCCGGTCGACTGGCAGGGTCCTCTGGCAAGAGTCTGTCTGGCAGGAGTCTGCCTGGCAGGAGTCTATCATCGGTGGTGTGGCAGGAGTCTATCATCGGTGGTGTGGCAGGAGTCTATCCGGTCCTCATCCTGTCCTTTGCCAGAAGTCTGTCCGGCCCTCTGAGTCTACCCGGTCCGCAGTTCATCCGGTTCTCTGGCAAGGGACAGGAGTCTGGCGCAGGACCAAAAGTGTTTCCACTCCTTTGCAAGATATCCGGCCCGCTTGCAGATCTGGTCCACTGCCAAGGGTCTATCCAGACCACTGGCACCCTCAGTCTATCCGGTCTGTTGGCAGGAGTCTTCCCGGTCCTCTGGCAGTGGCAGGACTCTATCCTGCAGGAGTGTGTTTAGTTTCGGAACTCCCAGTTTCCGAATCTCCGGGGGCCTAAGTTTCCGCATGGGGCGGGGGGGAGGAAGAGGGTTAAGTGTCCGAACCCGTCGAGGTGGACAAGATCGGGCGGGGCCATCAGGGGGACCCCGCCTCCGCGCTGCTGGAGCTGCTGGCGCCCCGGCAGCAATCGCCGTGGGAGGTGGTTCTCCACGTGCCGAGTTGTCACAAATCATTCTGACCGCGGCTCGCTTGGATTTCAAAGATCCGGCCCTTTCCCAGGTTACACAATCCGGCGACGATCAAGCTCATTGGCACAGTTTTGCCTAAATCACTTGCGACATTTGCTTGTTGAGTCCAGAGCGCCGTCCATTAACCATTGCATAAACTCACCGTAAATTCAAACGTGAAAGCTGTCCGTGAAACTAATGCCTTTCGATTGTTCATGTCTTTTGGGAGCAATGCGCGGAGCCTGAGGATCCGTCGCAGAACTTCGCCTTCAATGATCACTATCTGGATGTTCCGGTGGACTGCCGCGCGGCAAGTGTGTGTGTGTGTGTGTGTGTGTGTGTGTGTGTGTGTGTGTGTGTGTGTGTGTGTGCATGCCTGTGCGTGCGCATTTATCGAGGGTACCCATTTTGGGTTGGTTTAAAAAGTCCACTTGGTTGGGATCCAAATCCCTAGTTTGGCGCCCTTTTCAGGTTGGTAAAAAGGAAACCAAAAGGAACACCACTTTGGGGTCTTCCTGTTTGGACACATACCCGTATGCTTCAGGATACATACTGCGTGCACTGAACACAAACGCATTCCGGAAAGTCAGGTATTTGCCGAGGGGGAACGATCATACTTGCTACATGGAAGGGTCGGTTTGGAGTTGCCACGCAGTGCTTATCAGTTGTGTTGCAGATCCACTGTACGGAGTAGAAGAGAAGTAGGAGTTGTATTGACCATTGTCTCACATGGCTTCAAGCGGCACTTCTTTTCGATCTGAACACATGTAGTTTGGTCCTGCATGTTTGAGGAAGGCAGGCTTCTCAGGTTTCAAAGCGCATGGGTACCCGGAAGGTGGCAGTTCAGCTGGTTTCACGTTTGATCTTGGGTAAAGTGGACACCCTAAAGAGTGTTTGTGTATCCCAAGCAAGTCTAATGCACGACCTGCTTGCGCCTAAAGCCCGGCCTGTCTGATCCCATGAGCTTCCAACAGGAACAGTTTTATATGGCTCAAGGGAACTGACAATATTCTCGTGAGGTCAATAGTTGGGGTGGCGGTTTCTCGAGACGTGAAGCTTGGGTTTTTCTTATAAGACGCCGTCAGACTGACCTGTGGAAGGAAGGGCGTAGCCTGTACTCTGTCCGTAAGGCGATTTTGGATAAAGCCACATTCACATTTTCTGCCAAGCCTGAGGCAGCAACATCCTCTTCGTGTGCACCGCGAACGTCCTGGACACCATTCCCGGGCCCTTGCTCGACCGCATGGAGGTGATCCGGCTCACAGGCGGATTTCGACCTTCCACGACCGAAATCGGCGCTCGGAGGTTCGATGTGCGCGACTCGACTTTCGGTCAAGGGCAAAAGCGGGTCCTGTGTTTTACCATTCAACCTTATAGACACGGGGCGTCTATCGAACAAATCAAACAGCGCAAATCGCCAGTTCTTTATCCGCGCTGCATCGCTTTCCCAAGCACAAATGACTCTGAACTGCCACGTGTTCCTGCTCAGTCGTGCGCGCAGTGCTGAGCGGGCGCACGTGAGCGGGCGTGCTTGCCCTTTGGCAGGCGTGGGTGCAGTGCTGAGCGAAAGCGCTTGAGCGGGTATGCTTACCGTGTGTGCAGTGCTGAGTGGGTGCACGTGGGGGTGTGCTTAGCGCTGAGCGGGTGCATTTGAGTGGGTGTGCTTACCATTTGGCAGGTGTGCGCACCGTGCTGAGCAAGTGCTTACCGCTTGGCAGGCGTGTGCGCAGTTCTGAGGCGCGGGTACGCTTGAGCGCTGCCGGAAAACGGCTAATCTTGATGAGATGGGAAAAAACCACACCCCCCTCGTGGGGTCGGCACCAAGATCAGCTATGGCTGCCACCCACTTATCTGACGCGTGCCGTGCCCCTGCTTGCGAGAGAGACATGCCTGTCCGAGCACGGGTGTTCCCTCCGCCCACAACCCGCGCAAGCGATTTGTTGCTTTGTTTGGGTAGGTTCCTTTAGCGGCATTTGGTGACCAACAAAAATAGTGCTGCCTTCCGAATAGAAGTCCGCTCGACCTTAAGATGTCGGGTTTGATAATCATGACTCTTGCTTTTGCACTTCGCTTGCTCATCTGGCTGAAAGGCTCACTGGCGCCTAGGCCTTGAGCCGTGCTTCAACGACCCCAGCAGGATCAAGTAACCAACAGTTTTGGTTTTTGACGCGGATGCGCTTAGGTTGAAGCTCACTCAGAAACACGATGCCATGAAGGGTCCCCAATTAAACTGCAGACCCGTATTTCCCCGGATGCGCTGGGGTGTTGCAGGCTACGACCTGCAAGAGAAGATGAAGATCGCAGAGGACTACCTGGTGCCAACCGCTTTGGAGCAGGCTGACAGTCGACGACTCGCTGCACGGTTCAGCCCTGACCCTTGGAGTTGCGAGAAATTTGGTTTAGTTTCAGTTCGGTTCTGAGCGTCCAGTACCATCTATGTTTCCAAGAAGAAACCTACTAGCTATTTGTCAATCAGAGTCGCAACACAGGAAACCTGCTTGCGTCAAGTGTGAGCAGTGAGGTGTTGTGTTTATGTCGTCCTTCGGGCAGGTTTGCTTTGGCCATGCGATGCCCTCCGTTCCTGCCCTCTACGAAGGCTCCTTTCTTTGGGGGCTGCTTATCTGGGTATGATTTTTGATTGCCGACCCTCAGGTGGAGATCACTTCGGGGATTTGTGTCCACCAGTTGGAGGGTACTTGTTGAACATTCGTAGCCTCATGTGAATTAGAACTCACCCAGATGCATCCGCACCCGAGTCCGGGGGATTCTGCAGGTGGGCTTGAAGAAGCCGGAGGCCGAGGAAGCGAAGGACAAGAGCACGGAGAGCTCCGCGATCAAGGCGGGTTGAGTTCGACATTCAGGTGGTCCAGTTGAGTTCCAGAAACCGATTTGGAGCCATAGGAAAAGCGCGTGTGCCACCCTTCAAGGTTGAAGATTCTTATTTATGGGCGCCTTTGACCTCCCCCTCTTTTAGTACAAGTTGATTAGGGATGGTACTAACCGAAACTGTATGCAGGGCGGCCTTTCTCATTACTTGTGTTTTTTGCTACCTTCCGCGTTAGGGGGTTGCAGCACACCTCATTTGGAATCCATCCCCTTTCACTTTACCACATAGATGAGTTTTGGCCAATTGCTCACTGGTGTCGTTTTGCCGGGCTTCCTAGCCAAGCATCAACAAACAAGGCGTTTGTCTTGTTGAGGGTGTCCGTTGGTTTTACAGGGACACCAAGCAGAAACCGAAACCCAGTCTGTCCTGTTCCACATCCCATTGAGAGACAAATCCGAATGTTCCTCTGAAGATCTGAAGGGATTCCATGGCAAGTGCTTCGAGCCATCGGTTTCGCTTTTTCGGAGCAACATGAGCGGTCACTATTCGGGTTTGTCTCATGCGAAGCCCAAAATGGGTGGTCCCTTTGGATTCCTTTTAGGCAGATCCAAAAGGGTACCCAAAACGATACACAAGCTTACCATCACCACTCGCTGGAGCGCAATATTCACTGCCAAAGCTCGTGGTTGTCCAAGCGTATGGATCTTCTTTGAGGCCTTAGGCAGCAGGGTTTGCTTGGAATACCAGGAGCTACTTGAGATTGTGAGGTTGGGTTCCCACGAAACGCCCGGGTCATCTTGGGATCATTCCCCCCTTCCGCCAGTTTCCCAAAAAGCCCTCTGCCATGGCAATGTGGCTGGGATGGTCAGGCAGCTTGGATGTGTTTGGTCGAATGAGATCACCATAGGTCACCAAGCCATTCGAATCGGTGCCAGGGTATGTAGCGGCCATGGGTTGCCAAGCGGGTGTGATCAGGTGGGATAACCAATGCCTTTCTGGCAAAGGGATGGCTTGTTGGTAGGGAAGTTTTGATAGTTTCCGGTGATCCGCCTTCGCTGCGCTTGCCAGGAAGCCAAGGAGGCTGGGAGACGCTTGTGGGTGCTTTTTTGGGTGTTCTCTTACTACATAGGCATTGTTTTCAAGGGCGGCCATGTTTGGGGGTCTGATCTTTTGCATGGGCGGGGGCTGGGACTTTAGTCCGAAGCTTCGCGCATTTTGGGAAATCCCAAGCTGCACCTATGGGCAGGGGATGTGGCCGGGGCGAGTGCAAATTGTGTTGGAGCAAGTTCCCACGCGTGTCACCAAACGAAGACAAAAAAGGTCATGCAACGTTTTTGCAGTTGGACGGGATATCAAGCCTTTGAAGGACAGCACCAGACACTAGGACAAAAGTTGTGGTTGGTAGGGGTTGGGTGCAACTCTTTCCTCCAGGGGTTGAGTGACAACAACTATGCGGCCCGTGGATCACAATGATTTGCTTGAAAAACGCATTTTAGTTAAACAAGCCCGGAAATTGGTCTGCCATGTCTGAAGACATCATGCGAAGCTTGCCACCAGCTCATGGCCATTTTGTTTTTTTGGGTGCCGAACCCGTGATGGCGCGTGACCGAATTTCCAGAGGCTTTTCTTGCAGACCTCTGTGCAACATAGTGGATCTGCCTCCCAGGGTCTAAGCGGTGGGAGACTCTCGGCGTGGGTTGTACTTTGGAATCCGCGGTTTGGATGCAGTCGATGCACCTGTTCTGGGCATGGGGGTGCTCCAAATCCAATCCCGGGATCCACTCAAAAGTGGGGGACATGGCGTCAAGGGATTGAATCGTCAATCTCTCCGTCAGTTCCTTTCAAAGGAGCTTGACTTAAAACCCATTTGTGGAGCTTCCCGTTCACTCCCAGCCACCCCCGCCACAAGGGCTTGGGATTCGCGACGTTCGCTGCGTTGAATGTAAGGCCCGGCCGCTGCCAGAAGTCAAGGCGGGGTGCTCGAGGCATGAAAAATGGCTTGTCCAAAGGTTCGGCAATTTCCTTATTTACCAATCCTAAAAAGGGTACCCCAAGCACTCCAAGTTGTGAAACCTGTCAGGTTGAACTCCAAAGCAACCTGTATTGAAGACAAGAGGCGTGGGATCTTCCATGGAATCGCCTGAGGGAAGCTAACCCTTTTTGGGTGGTTTGGATTGGGGATTTGCCCTGCCTGAACGAAGACAAACCACCAATTGGAGATACGATGGGAGTAGTTGGTCGTCAAATTGGGAGGAAAAGAGGGGCTCACTAACTTTTCACTGATGTGCCTGATGCGCATTCAATTTGGTGCATATTCTCATTGTGGCTTAACACATTTTCTCCTCGCGGTGTGGGCATCAATCGGAAGTTGGAAGGGACTTATGCTTTAGTTGGGGGCACGAAGCAAACCGGCCAACCAGTAGAAAGACATCCAAAACAAAGACCTGAAGTGGGAAATTTAAGGGCAATTCACGGGACCGGCCCCATCTGGTTCTCAGTGGTTTCAGGAATGGGAAGGAAGACACAACCTTCTGACAACGAAGCCTCCAGTTTCCCTTCGACCTGGGTGCATTCATGAAGCGCAAGAGGACAAGAGTGCTTGAAAGTTGGTTGCACCTCGTGATGAGTCATGGCGATGGGACAACTAACAGAAAACTCCTTGTAGAGCTGTTGTTCGGTTTTCAGCAAGCTGATATTGGATGACCCTCAGGTATGATGTTTTAAGGATCTATGACAAGCATGAGGTCGTCAATGCTCAAGTTGCACTGGGCCAGTGGGCCTGCACATCCTCTTTGGCGGGAGTCAGTGCGTCACCAGCCCCAAAACCCACCGACTTCGCACATGTACAAGCAAACATTCTGCCCATGGCCAAACCCAACCCCCAAAGGAACCACGCCAGGCGCCCCCCACCAACCGGTCTTGAGGCAGAGATCGAGTCCTCCGCTTTGGAGGCGCTGATCCGGTGGTACTGCCGCGAGGCGCGCACTCGGAGGCTTCCGGCAGCTGGCGTCTCTTCAGAAGGCACCAGGTGGCTAACTTTAAGACAGACGCGTGAAACGTGGAGTCTTCCAGACCCGCTCGCTCGCTCGCTCGCTCTCTCTCTCTCTCTCGCTCTCTCTCTCTCCTCTCTCTCCTCTCTCTCCTCTCTCTCCTCTCTCTCGTTTGCTTTGAACAACACTTAGCCCACTAAGTCTGACACACCCTGGGATGATACTGCTCATAAGGTACTCTTTTGAAGGTCCGATTGTGAGACTCCAAGCAAGGTTCGGCTTTTCTTCCAAACAGAGAGCGGGTTGCAAACAAATAGGAGGACACTTCTCCTCAGGTCCGTTTTGAAGTGCCCGGAACAGTCCCAACCTGCGTGGTTTGCAGCAGTGTTTCGTAAGGCAACTAGTTCTCAGGACAAGAGGGGTTCTCAAAATAGTGGTCCTCCAAAATGGTTGGCTCCCGTGAATAGCTAACCAAATTAAAGGGGGTTTACCACTTTGATAACTCCCCCCTTCTTCTGCACACTAGTGAAGCGACGGGAAACTTGCATCGCGCGGGCACACCTGCGTTATTGGGGGTTTGTGTGGTCTATATGTGTACGATGCATGTATCCATCCATGCATCCATGCATCCATGCATCCATGCATCCATGCATCCATGCATCCATGCATCCATGCATCCATGCATCCATGCATCCATGCATCCATGCATCCATGCATCCATGCATCCATGCATCCATGCATCCATGCATCCATGCATCCATGCATCCATCCATCCATCCATCCATCCATCCATCCATCCATCCATCCATCCATCCATCCATCCATCCATCCATCCATCCATCCATCCATCCATCCATCCATCCATCCATGTTTTTAACATGTATTTATTTATGGTGTATGGATTTGTGTGTTGGTAGTCTACTGTTGGTTTGGGGGAGGACATTCGGGGAGGACAACAGACATCTCCCGCACGAGTTTTTTTCCCCTTTCCCCCCCCCCCCCCCTTTTGTTCTTCTTTGTTTTTCGTTTTTTTTTCCTTATTATTTTTTGGTCAAATGTCCTTCTCTGGAAACAAGTAGTTTGTCCGCGCTCACGCACACACACACACACATGTTTTCTTATATATATATATATACATTTGTAAATGTAACTCAAGGTAAACACACGTGCCTCTGTCTATATTTTTGCCAATATGTACATTTGTCATGGCCGCTACTGTGATATTGCTTTCTGAAAGAAGTGGGTGTTCTTAAGAGCTGGCATCTTCCGCACTCTGCTCTCACCGCTGACAAGGTTTGTCATCCAGCTTCCTTGATAAGTGGTGCTTTCAACCTGGGCAATAGGGAGAAGTCCACGAGTCCACAAGCTTCCATTACCGCTTCAAGACTTCCAGGCCAAGGTGGTCCTTCTGTGTCTTGGAAAGTCACGGGCTTCTTTAGAGGTATGCCACACTTCTAACAAGCCTAGGTGGCATCCCCAACAGCCCCACACCAGAGCTTGTTTGGGCCTATCGATCCCAAATCTTTCAGCTGGGCATGTTGGTGTCCCTTGACACATCCTCCAAACTTTGCGACCTACCCCACAGGGCGACAAAAAGGACTCCTCCCTTGGTCAGAAGCGCGCCAAAAACAGGGCCGCGGCCAGGCGGGGGTGCGGAATTTGCAGAAGCACATCGAGCGCATTTGCCGCAAGATCGCCACCAAGGTGGTGGAGCGCTGGGAGGGCGACTCAGACATCCCGGGCTGTTCCGGAAGTTTGATCCCTCCCCTAAGGCCAATTGGGATCAACTCGGGACAAACATGTGGAAATTGGAAGCCAGGAAATGGTTAATGTATTCTGGCGATGGCAAGGCGCCAGCCGCTTTTTCCTTGTTCGAGCCTTTGTGGCAGTTCAAAGGCTTGGAACCCACCAGGTTGCAACTTTACGGGGCATCCAGGGGGAAGCTCGGTGAATCAGTTGGCGTAACCAGTACTACAAGGGTATAAATCATTTCAACTAGTTTACTATTTGGAAATCATGACTTGGTCTAAACACAGCCCCTACTCTATGTAAGTTATGTAGGCTCTCACAAAATGCCACCCCGTTGAGTCGTTCCCGAGGCGAGGCAGAGGCCGACGCAGCGGCCGGCGGTGCCGGTGGTGCCATGGAGATCCGAGTCGACGAGGCGGCGCTCAGCGACTATGTGGGGAAGCCGGTGCCTTCGGCCGCATGCTGCGGGTTCAAAACGGGGGGGGGGGGGGTGGTCGGGTCAGGATTGGGGCACCTTCATGTTGAACATGGGTTGCCCACCTCTGCCTTTCCCTAAGAAACGTGGAAGTCTTGGATGACCTGAGTGACCAAAGGCACCAAAGATTGGTTTTTGCCCCAGATTCACCCAAAAAAGGGTTCTGCTGCCTTCGCAGGTCTTCACCTCGGATCGCCTCTACGAGGACGAGCTGCCGCCGGGCACCGTCACAGGTCTGGCCTGGACCGCCATGGGCGGCTCTGTGCTCTACATCGCCCCTCGCCGCAGTGTGTTTCTGGCGGCGAGAGGATTTTGCAAAGGTGTCTGGTGTTTGGTTTGTTTGGTTTGTGTGTTCGTTTGTTCGTGTGTTCTTTCGTTTGTTTGTTTGTTTGTTTGTTTGTTTGTTTGTTTGTTTCTTGGTTGGTTGGTTGGTTGGTTGGTTGCTTGCTTGCTTGCTTGCTTGCTTGCTTGGTTGGTTGGTTGGTTGGTTGGTTGGTTGGTTGGTTGGTTGGCGGTGTGGCGGAACCTATGCTGGATATGACGCACATTGGGTGGAAGAGAACGTCAGTTTGAAGGGATGAGAAGCTGCGCACCATCGAGTCACATCAGGAAGTCCTTTAAGCTGTGCTTCCAACAGCAGGCGTAGATAGTGGGTTTTAGGAGTGCTGCGGTTCCTTGTTGGCACTTTGGCAACCAGTCAGATGATGCCTGTGTTCCAGAGAAGGGTTGTTTCGTTGTTTCTTTGTTTCTTTGTTTGCCCCCTTGGTTGGCAGTGTGTTTGCTTGCTTGCTGGTTGGTTGCATTCTTGCTTGCTTGCTTGCTTGGTTGCTTGCTTGCTTGCTTGCTTGCTTGGTTGGTTTGTTGGTTGGTTGGTTGGTTGGTTGGTTGGTTGGTTGGTTGGTTGGTTGGTTGGCTATTTGGGTGCATGTTTGCTTTTCTTGGGTGTGTCAATGGTTGGCTGTTGGAAGCGACCTTGTCAGTAGTTGATGGTTCTGGTGCAGCTGTCAGGCTTTGGCTGACTCGTCCCATTTGAAACACGGAGGCCAGTCACTCTCGGGAGTCCTTACCCATTTCGAGGACGTACGTAGCGAAGGCTACAGGGATCCTCGGCGCTTCAGACCGATTTCGTTGGTGGGTGCAGCAGTATTCAGTGGTGGGATCCAGGTCATGTCAAGTGTTTGCGCCATCCCCCCAGTGGACAGCTATTCCGAACCAGCCCCTCTTGAACAACAGACAGGAATGGCCGAAATTACTGTGCACCAAGGCCAACGTTCAGTTGCATTCCGCTTCTCTCCATGCTTCCTTGTTGCTCCCAGGAAGCCACAGCACTGCCCCGCCGCAAGAAGCCGGACGGAGACGCTGCTGGCGGGCCGAGTGTGGCTGTGCCGCCCACACTGGCTGTGACGGGGCAGCTGGGGAGCGTGATGAAGGCAGGGGATGGCGACTTCTTTGCATCATTCAACCTATGCAGCTAGGGGTGATCAGCCTTTTGATGGGCATTAGGTCCGAGTCAGTGGCAAAGTTGAGCGCTGTAAGAACTCCCCCAGACTCTTGGAAAGAATCAAGCAATCCCTTTGGACGTCCATGCGCTTTCCTCTAGCCGGTACCCGAAATCAGCCGCTTTCCATCCAGGCCGTCGTCTCTCTCAAGCGAGTTGAGCCGCTGACCCTGCCACGAAATGTGTACTCTGTTTGTCACAAGGACATATTGCTGGACTCGCCAAACAGAGGGGTTTCCACCTCAGGATCGCTAACACAAATACGCCACGCCCAGCGAGCGAGCTCAGCGTGCCGGGAAATAAAGAGCCCGTCGCTCGCTTTTAAGCGCGCTAAAGTGTGGAATGCAGTGTGCTGTCAGCATGTCTCGACACAAGGATACAGAATAAAACGACACCACTTCCGAGGGAATCCAAGGATTGGCAGAAACCTCGGGTTTCCACTCCGGACATTCTCAGGAAGCTTCGCTTAGCTCGTGATTTGCTCCGCTGGCAGATTGCAGCAACTAACTCCCGGGCGAAGGTGAAAGTCCGATCCATTGTCAAACTGAGCTCTGAATGCAACGTTGCTTGTGTGAACACGAATACGAAGACTTCGCTCAAGATGGGATTGATGTCAATGGACTCCTTCCTTTGAGGGTTCGTCTTCACATTCCCCTTTTGGTAGTATGACAACTCCTTTACCAGTGCTTCCTGTGCATAAGCTTCGTTCTGCCGCTGTGTCTTTCAAACAGCAGTTTGGTTCCTGTCAAACGGGTTCTGACTGTTTGGGGGTCCAGCCTGCCAGCATCTGCAGTACGTTGTGTGGGGTTGCGGTCAGTGGTTAGATTTTCCGCACAGCAACTCTTCATCTTACCTTCAGTTGGTTTGGTTCGGTGGTTTGGGGGTTGGAACGCCTGCTTCTTCTTAAAACTTTCAACTAGGGAAGATGATGCGATACTCCTGCCAGGCCTTCAAGCCTCCAACCCTCCTCCCTCCGACTAACATAGCACTTATACAAAGGCTCCTGCTAGGGAGGGGGGTTTAGTTAAGCTGTACACATACTGTAACCACTTCTCACGCGGCACTGGACCATGATAAAGCCAATGAACCAAGACCAAACCAAACGCAAGCAACCACTCCACAGGGCGGGCAGAATGCTCCCAAAACCCATCCCAGATCAACCCTTCAAGTCCCCAAACCAACGCTCAACCAACCCTAAACCAACCCTAAACCAACCCTAAAGCAACCCTAAAGCGACCCTAAAGCGACCCTAAACCAACGCTAAGCCAACTCCAATCACAGGGGGAACAGGGGTTAGGGGGCTCGACCATATAAAGAGAGCAGGCATGCTATATTTTCACTGGCGGTTTGCACCCTTGTCCTTTGGTATAAACACGGCACCGGTAAATCAGAGCCCAAGGGGCACCATGAGCCGTCGTCCAAACCCCTCGACGTGTCGAATTGGAGGAGTCTTCGCAGATTGCTCTGCTCGTGGCGCGGCGCCAGCTGGCCACAAGGCAGGCCAGCGGCTTCTTCGAGGCCGGTGCTCGGAATGTTCCCTACGTTTGCTGCTGAGGGGGGTGGGGGGTGGGGGAGGGGGTGAGAAAGGCGAATTCTTGATCTAGATTCAGTTTGGCTGGACATGTAGATGATATCATCTTGGAGGGGGAAGGGATGAGCGTTGAACAAAGAATATTGACGGATCAAACAAATATATCCAGGGGATTGACCCTGATGTCATAGTTTCTTGGTCTCCTGGTCCCTTGGTCTGGTGCCTTGGTCTCTGGGTCTCCTGGTCTCCTGGTCTCCTGGTCTCCCGGTCTCCTGGTCTCCTGGTCTTCTGGTCTTCTGATCGTTTCACCGTCTCCACTGCATTCTCTGCTTCGGACTGGCACGCTTGAGTGTGGCACCCCAAGGGGCGCAGGTCCTGAGGACTTGAACACCCTTGCGTGTTGTGGTTCTTTTGTTTAGGACTGCGCAGCCATTTTGAGCTGCGGGAAGCTGAAGTTGCCGAGCAGTCCCTAATTGACATATGTGTGGGTTTTGGATGCTAACTGTTTGGGACTTTCCCGCACTTTGACCAATGCACATCCAGCCGGCCAGCTCACTGATTGCTTCAAACCATCTCGCAGCAGGACATCGATGGTTTCCTTTTAGGGCAACAGCCTTGTTCCGTTCCTTGAGCAAGGTTCCATTTCGTTCCTTTTTTTAACAGTTGAAACATCATCTTTGAGTCGTTCAAAATGGTTTTTCCCTTGGTGATTCTTAGCCAAGCCCAAAACCACGAGCCCAGAGGAGCACGAGCTCTTCCTGCACTGCCCGGAGGGTGCCACGCCCAAGGACGGGCCATCAGCCGCCCGGCAGAGCTTTCGCCGCAGCCGGGAGGTTGGGTTCGTTTTTTTGTGTGTTTTTTCTCTGAGGGGAAGGTGGGGGGCCCAAAATGGGACATCGGGATATGAAAAACTGAGGTGCTCGTTCTTTTGAGAAACTGCCATCCAGCAGACATTTGGGCACTTTTGCTCAAAGCATGTATCTGGCGTATGTAATAGCATAAATAATAGCATTCTCCGATCTTGGAGCACTGCGCGCATGTGCTTGGCCAACGCAAGTTCTCCGAAAAGCACGTGGACGACGAAGGGATGCTTATCCGCTTCAAACCCATAACCCAATTGACACCAAATCCCCAAAGTCCGATTTCGGTGGTGCCATGTTCCAGAAGAAACAATCCTGGAAAGGAACAGGGGAAGTGCAGCTAGAGTTTTTCTGCGTTCCCCAAACAAACGGGAAAATAAGATGGCTTCCTTGGGTGTTGTAAGAAAACCCGCAGTTGTCAAATGGGCGTTTTCAGTGTTTGTTGAAGAGAACCGCCAAGCGGGAAAAGCTCGTGTTTCCTTGTGTGATTGCTACGTTTGCAGCACCCCGTGAAGGGCGAACAGCCAGCGAAATGGGAGATTGCCAACCATGTACCTTCCAGGGTTTAGCCCTTACCGGGCAGAAAGCATCATCAACTCAAATATCAACTCGCTGTGAACAAGAAGGCCTCCAGATGAGGTTTGTTAACCTCCAAAAGGAGACCCTATTGGGTGGTAAAAGCATTCCCGCGTGAGGCTGGGGTGGGGACCATGCCCAGCAAACCTGTACTTAGAGGCAGATGACTTGGATGCCAGGTGCAGAGGGGGATGCTGACCATGTGTGCAGCGTTTCTGTTGTTTCATCAACGGTTCTCATGGGCTTACACATGCTCAGAAGCCGATCATCTACAGGTAGCGTCAGGTTTGCAGAGCGGTTTTGTATATGCCTTGCTATGCAAGATTGCATGTGTGTTTGTTGAAGCATTACCAAGAGGGGTCTAAGCCTCTCAAATCTGCTTGGACATATTTTTTTCCGCCGTGGCGCTCCAGATTATCTCCAATTGTGCTTGCTTCGTCCGCTAAAGTCAGCAAATCTTATTTGCTTCCTGTTGGCTTTTATTGCGGGCGCATGCTGGGAGATTCAGGGTAGAGTGCTTGTTTCATTGGGGTGGATGCCCATGGCCATATGCGTGTTCAGCCGATTGCATTGGCAGCGTTTGCATTGGCAGAAGCGCGAGCTGCACACCTGGCAAAGTTCCGAAGGTCTGTCGGAGGCGTTGGGCACATTGCTCATTTGGGGGTGTCTTTCTGGCGGGTATCCATTTTTGTGTATTTTAAAGCGACACCAAGGGAAATACCCATGTGTAGGCTCCCCCACCCCCGTTTCCAGTTGTTTTTTGTTGGCATTTGAGCACTTTGATTTGCCAGCTGAAGTTAGAAATGCCGTCACCGCGACTGGCACCCTTCTCGTTTTGGGCCATTCTCTACGTGCTTGTATAACCGGGTCATGAATCCCGGGAGGTTCACCTTGTAGCATGGCGGATGAACATGACAAATGTCGTGGCAACTGGAGGGAAGGCAAGCGAGTCTAGAAGTAATCTGGGTGTGGAACTGGTAGTTTGCTATTTTATTGCCACCCCAAGGCTCTTGAGATCAAGCTCGTCTATGCCCAGCGCTAGCATCGCTCAATGAAGTTGACGCCATCCATCGAAGCCAAACAAACCTCGCACATAGCTTGGCTGAGAGGCTGGCGTCACCATGACGACCGCGCTGCTTTCTGTGGCCATGGACAAGCCCATCCCCACAGACCTTGCCATGACGGGCGAGGCAGGTGCATGATGGGCCTTGCCATCAGAGCCACAGTTGTTTTCTTCGTTGCCATTGCGGATTTCCTTGGTACCCATACTCCAAATGGCTCTGAGTTGAACAATAAGGGAACCATCGTAAAGTGATGGCCTGAATGATGTCCATCAAAGGGTCCCAAATCTATGCTCACCCCAAATGTCCATGCTGGGGTGACCTGGTGACCTTTTGACACTGAGTTGGCCCGTGACCAGACCAGGGCTATTCGGCAATTCTCCATGGCTGTCATTGGCTGCCCAGAGCGGCTATTGCTCAGACACCAGTTGGCAGTGCTTGCCTTTGGTCTTTCCTTGGATCGCGGGATGTGGGGACCCCGCAAGCAGCTATTCAGCAAAGAGCCGCTCAGACAGAAGTCATCCTTCTGACAGCCGAAGGCTGAAATGGGTGAACAATCAAGCCCATGAAAAGAGGGCACCCATAGCTTTGGTTCAGCGCCAGAACGCCGGGCAGATTGCCTGGTCGGGCAGGGGGCCCATGGTTTTTGACTGCACGGTTAACGTGGGAAACGCGGTTTCCTGACAGGTGACTGGTGAAACGCCTGAGTTCGGAATCAAGGGAAGTTTCCTTTCGGAAAAGCCCTCGAGGTGTGACACTCTTTTCCATGCCTTGCATGTTGTCCCGAACATCACGACAGGGCTTCTTTGAGAAATACGCGTTGTGTCGTTGCCAGGTCTCCCTCAACGGCAAGGTGCTGGCAGTGGGCGGCATCAAGGATTGCGGTGACTCCGCGAGCGTGCTCGCTAGGTGGTTTCGTCTTCGGACGTCCTTGCTCCCAATGACCAGCCAGTGGAGAGATGGTGATACCTAAGTTGCGCCATGTGCAAGCCTGCCAGGCACAAGATGGGTGAAAGTGTGTCGAACAGATGTTGGCCCTTCCTCCGGGTATTCATTTCTGTTTGGCTCGGAGTTGGCATCTTGATGAGACAGTTTTGACTCGTTAGAAGGCTGTTTGGAGTTCAGAGTTCCTGATGTCCACAACTCGGGTAACACTTGCAGGAAACACCACCCTGCCGTTGCTGCTTGTGGGTTTCTGGGGTTCGGCTGTATATTGCTGATGCGGACGAAAACAACCAAACATCAGTCAGACATGAAGACAAAGGCCAGAATATTGTCTTCTGGCAGCCGTGGTGAGGGGGTCTGGAGGTTGGGGGATGCCGTTTTTGGGACACGTCGGCTGCCATCAGCAGCTTGTCAATCTAACCTTGCAGCCCGCCAAGTAGCAACAGCTTCCATAGCTCCACAATATGTGGCAAGTAGGGGGGTTTTCAAGGTGGTACTTGAGGGAACTTGAGGGACTCTTGGATCAAAACCCGATGCCTACCCTAACATTATTTTGTGCCAACAAGGCGTCAAAAAAGGGGCCCTAGTTTGGACACCCCCATGTGTGGTGAGGGGTGTCGGGCCAGGGGGCACGAGAGTTGGAAGCGTCCCAAGGCAACCCGTTTGGGGCAAGCGCACTTTTATTTAGGCGGCGTCATAGTTTCAGACATATGAGGAACTGACAAACATTTGGTTGGCCTGTTGTTGGTTATATAAAGCAGGACATGGGGGGACAAATCAGGAGAGAATACAAATTCACAATTCTCACAAATCCCAGGGGGACAGCAATAACTTTCCCATGTTTTTTTGGGCTTCGTAATTTTCTTGGTGGCTATGGGTGTTTCTCAAAGGTTTTTCCCCTGCGGTTTTCCTTCAACCCCCCCCCCCCCCACAGACTACTAGTTGCGTCTGCCTCCTTTTTGGGGTTGGTTTACAGAGAAACCAACGGGACACCCCACCCATTTGTGATCTGCCCCCCCCCCCCCCCGGCAAAAACAAAAGAAACAAGAAGAGAAAAAACAAAAAACAACACAAAAAACACATAGCAAGTCTCAGGAGAAAACCATCGCGGCCCGGCGCGCGGGATGCAAGACGCTGGTCTTTCCGGCCGCCAACCGCCGCTGGGCTCGGCGGGTTTGCTGGTTCTCAAGAAGCCTCGTGTGATCAAGTGTGTGTTTTCTTTTTCTTTTTTTTCTTTTTTTCTTTTTTCCTCGGGCACTCCAATTTGGGGGGTGGTTTTTGAAGAGAAGCCAAAAGGACACAATTATCCATTGTTGGGGTTCCTCTATTTTGCCGCGCACACACATATGAAGTCGTAGAAGACACATTGGCCCCTGGAAGGTGTTCGCTATCCACTACTCAAAGATAATGATGAATGGCAGTCCTCATTTTCTTGTCAGCTTTTAACTTTGCGCAGGGTTTCTGTCATGCACCGTGTCCAAAAGAAGGCGTATGGGGTCTCCCAACCCCATGGACGACTTCTAAAACGAAATCAAAAGGGAAACTGGAAGGGACGCCAGCATGCCAAAATGCAAAGCAACTTGGACACCGAAGGCAAGATTGGATTGGAAGTCAGAAGCCAGCCAAATTCACGACCAAAAGGAAATCCACGTTGCACACAGAAGGGGAAATAAAATTGGAAGCCAGACGTGAACCCAAATTGCAAACTCAATTTGAAACTAGATTGGAAGCTGACATGGCAGTGCCCGAATTGGCCAAATAAAAGGTGCACCACACTTGAAACCAGCCAACCTTTCGAACTGATCGACTATGTGTCCAACCAGGGGCCCTATAGCTTTCGACACGTGCCGCACCACAGAGATGGTTTTGCAAGCAGCAGTAAGTTTCATCGAGGTCTACTGTTGCAAGGGGGGTAGCGTGAGGCAAGCTTTCGAGTCAGTTGGTGCATGGGGCAACTGGGTAAACTTCCAAATTTCTAACGCGTCATTATTATATGAGGGATTAAACAATCACCAATACAACTCCTATAATACTAGATTCGGTTTTGGAGTACCCCGTAAACCCATTCCAGGTCTTTAGGCCCTGGAGTACGCCATGCATGTCTCTTTGCCAACACATTTCAATGGCACACAAGATCTGAGGCCGCGACTTTGACGAGCTGCCCAAGTATTTGCAGGAGGACCTTGAGGTGCGGTTGGTTTGGTGCCTTTTGGTTTGGTTGGTCGCTTGCTTTCTTTTAAGGTTGGTTGGTTTGGCAGGTTAGTTTGTTTGTTTTGTTGTTTCTCTGTATGGTTGTTTGTTTGTTTCTTCCATTCGTTTTCTTTCTTGCTTTCTTTTCTTTAATTCTGTAATTTTCTTTCTTTCTTTCTTTCTTTCTTTCTTTCTTTCTTTCTTTCTTGGTTGTCTTGTTTGTCCGTCGTCTGGTTGGTTTGGCTGGGTGGTTGCTTGCCTGGTTGGCTGTGTGGTACGATGGTGTCCTTTGATGCTCGCTTCAGCTCTTCTTACAGTGGGGTCTTGTTCGGCCCATGAAGCAGATACCCAGTGGCCCCACACGCAGGAGGCTTGCTTCTTTTTCTCATGGTTCAAGAGGAAGCAAAGATGGACATTGATCTTGTTTTTCTTTCAGGCCTTCGGGCGGTTGCTTTGATCCGAAGCCTTTTGCTTTTCAGAGCGTCTCCTTATTTTCCCCAGCGGGATATCTAATGGTTGCATCCCTGTTGTCCACGCCATGGAACGGCCGACTGGTTTTGTTTCTCCGGCGGGCTTTCGCCAAGAGAGCCCGATCTGATTTTCTTAAACCCGTCAAATGGTCGGAGGGGTTTGGTTGAGGGGTGGTTTAGGGTCTTGACGCTTCAGCTGCTGTTGAAGTGAGAAGGCAGCCCAACCCCAGAAAATCCCCAACCCTCCGAACAACAAAGCCAAGAAACAACACCACCGCACCAACAAACCACCAAACCACCAAATCGTGGTGCGGCTTGTTCTTTGGTTGCCCCAAAACACTTGCAGGTGTGGCCGTGGTACCAAATTCCCCCCTCATTAACCGGTTTTCCTCTTGGCTTGCCTTTAGGCATTCCAAGAAGGGTCTTCCAATTAGACGGCCTGTCCCAAGAAATCAGATCACCGAGGTGCACTTCGCGAGCCACTTCAATGAGGTCTTTGATATCGCCTTCAGAGAAAGAGAAAGCTCGCCTCAGGCTGTCGGCATGGGAAGCCCGGAGGATCTCGGCTGGTCTTCTGAAAACGTTCCTTTCTACCCCCCAGAGAGGTTCCGAGAACCCTTGTGAGAGCCCCTTCTGTTCTTAGCCTTTCCGGGGTGTGGGCAGGCTCTTGGCTTGTCCTGTATCTATTATCCAGAGTCGTCCCCGAGCTTCATCTTGCAAAGTGGGGCGCATGGATGAGATAGGCAGAGGTGAATATCCAAGATGCACTGCGCACTTAAGCCTTTTAGATGCAGGCTCCGTCCAGTGAGGCCTGAGCTGAATTGTACATAGACGGCCAAAATGCAGCCGGAACATTCGACGGCCCAGTCATCACGGGATACCGACAGGTAGCATGTTGCACCCGAAAGGGTTGCGTGCCTTGCAGCAAGCCATGTGCTTGAGGTGTCACTGGCAAGAACTGCCGCAAGTTTTGTTCTCAAGAGACAAGTCTCCTTGTCTCTCCACGTTTCGAGATGCACAATGCACTGGAACCAGTTCTACGCATTTGATTGTTGTGTGCAACGGCAGTTCTTGCCAGATTTTCACCAGGATCACTTGAGGGGCGCATGAACCAGGTACAGACCCTCATGCAGTCTCTATCTGAGACCTCACGACACAGAGCCTTTGTGGGCCTGTGCATTGCCAAAGACTCTTTTCGGTTTTAAACGGACGTGGCCTGAGAGTTGTTGGACGGAGGGCAAGTTGGTAGGGTGGGCCAGAGCTTCTGGGCGGCTTCGCGAGATTCGTTTTGTTCTTAACATGCCTTTTGCGAGACCTCGGTGTACGCATCGGTCGGCATTTGCTCGTGTTTGAAACTGAGAGACGGCTCCAAAGCTTAATTGCATGCTAGTATGCCTCTGCAATCCTCCAGGAGAGGGTCCCAACTAGTTGGATACATTCTGATGTATGCATAATGTGTATAAGTAATATGGCCATGGTTCAAAACCAATGGTACCATTTTGGGATAGGTGCACCACCCATTTTAGTCTATTCTAGTGGGGATTGGGATGTTCACTGGGGGTACGGGGTTTTGACCCATGGCCGTATATATATATATATATGTATACATACATATATATATATATACATACACATGGGTGATGACGATGCTAAGACGGTGACGACAACGAGGATGATGATGATGATGATGATGATGATGATGATGATGATGATGATGATGATGATGATGATGATGATGATGATGATGACGAGGGCTCATTAGAGACAAAACATGTGGATACCATGTGATCTCCTGGAATCAGGGAAGGAGCATGCCCTCTTGTTGCTTGCTGAAGGAACCCCGCCATTTTTTTTTTCTCATTTTTTTGGAGGGTTTCCTTGCGATTTTATCCAACAAGGTCTTTTTTTCTCCATGGCCTTCCGGATCTAACCCTCGCCCGCACCTGGGCCCTTGGCTCACTCCTTTTGGCTTGGTCAACCTGAGCCTTGCTTGGAGCCACTGCGGTACAGCCCGGGCACCCAAGAGCCAAGGGCGGCGGTCTTTGCAAGTGCTGTGCTGCGTTTTGTTTCCTTTGCTTAGCACAGGTCGTTTCAAGGTCGTTGCGAGTCAAGCTGTTGCTCATTGTTGTCTTGAGCTTGACTCTGTTTTGATGCCTGCTTGCATGTTGGTATTTTGTTCTTGTGAATTGTTTGGTAGACTTCTTGCTTTTTGGTCTGGCTTGCTTCATGGCTTGTTTTCTTGCTTGCCTGCGTCACCGATTGCTTGCTTGCTTTGCCTTGCCTTGCCTTGCCATGCCTGCTTGCCTGCCTGTCTGCTTGCCCGCCTGCCTGCCTGCCTGCTTGCTTGCTTTCTTGCTTGTTTGCTTGCTCGCCTGCCTGCCTGCCTGCTTGCTTGTTTGCTTGCTCGCCTGCCTGCCTGCCTGCCTGCCTGCTTGCTTGCTTGCTTGTTTGCTTGCTTGCTTGCTTGCTTGCTTGCTTGCTTGCTTGCATGCTTGCTTGCTTGCTTGCTTGCTTGCTTGCTTGCTTGCTTGCTTGCTTGACGTCTTTGGGAATGTATTGGTACTGGTGCAAATCTTGAAGTTTAAGATTGGTTTGATCTATTCCAATGCATGCCATGAGTGTCAGTTGTTTGCTCACCCTAATGCAGTCTGAAACAACCTGCCATCTAGTTTAGTTGGTTCGACACGTGGAACTGGTACTTCATGTTTCCCCACACACACATGGCTGGGAACATGCAAGTGGCAGCATGTGGCAAAATCGGTGACTCCCCCGAGAGTTTAGGGTTCGCTTCGCTGTCTACACCCCCGCACTCCTTGGACCCTGTTGCGGCCTGGGCAAGCAGTCTGGTCTACGGCCTTGCCCACTACGTTTGGATTTCATTCCTTTATACAAAGGGTTTCAGATCGGTGGCGGCTTGGTGCCGTACGTGTTCGGAACCTGTTTGGCTCAGCCCGTGATTTTCAATCTTGTTCTCCCTTTCTGTTTGGACCAGACAAGATTATGTTTGTTGATACCGAAGGATTGTTTGAGTCAGCAACTTCGACGTTTTTTGTGTTCAGAAGTTCTGATCTGCTACAGGCAAGGGGCACTTTGTATCAAGGCAGTGATCGCTAGTCACTTGTTTATTCGGCTTCACGTCACTTTGGACCAGAACGGACGGTCACTTGCACTTTGTAAGGCTACCATGCGCAATCCTCCTGTTGAGCGTTGAATTTGTTGTGTTTGCTTCACAGGCTGTCTACTATACAGACAACACATCTTTGGCGCTAGCAAATGCGTTGGAACACGATGCAGTGCCTTGTGTTGTTTTGTCGCCTAGGGTTCAAGGCCATCTCTTCGCATGTTTGCCTCACCGGCCCACTGCAAACCAAAAATGCTTCGGCCAGAGATGGCAATGGGCCCGCGGCGACCGGAAGATCCGAGGCCATGCAGCTCTTCGTCCGCGAGGTCACGGGGGCCAGCCTCTCCGTGGCCGCGGATGGCTTCGACACCGTGGCCGCCCTGAAGGACCGAGGGCCCGGGTGGGACCGAGAACCGGGAGACGAAAAGGCCAAGGAGGGCCTACAGGTGGGTGGTGTGTTTTGTGGGCGCGGTGCCTTTTCTGGGGGTTCAAAGGAGCAGTTTGTAGTTAGCTCCGTGGAGTGCAGTCCACCTTTTTTGATCCCTCGGGTTTGCCGAGGCTGTTCTGTGCGGGCAAGGGTTTCCTTCATAGAAGTCCTGGTGTTAACTATCCAAATCGCCAGGGTCGATGACAATCCCCGGCATCAAGCAATCAGGTCACTTTACACGTTGAACATTGGAGGCTTCTTCCTAGTTCGAGGATCATGCACCCCAAACGACTCCAAGCGGCTGGGGTTTGCCCTAAGAGCCAAGCTTCCCTTCAAGGCATCAGATCTACACAAGCTATGCGATGTACTGAACATATCATATGTTGCGTGCTCTACCTACCAGAGTACATAGCCACAGGGCCAGCCCTTGAACATCTAAAGAGAAGATCTCACCGGTCACCTGCTAAAGTGGCAACGCTTACCACTGGAGGTACACATATGCAACTTTATTGCAGTCTGGTGCTTCTAGGCTCCTTTCCCCGATCGCAACAGGCAGACGTCGTGTTCAAACCTGGGGCTAAGCATTTTGTACGTATCCTCGTGGTTTGACGCACCACTTTAGGCGCAAAGGAGACTGTGAGATCACTTGTGCTGGGGTGTGCCAGGCCGCTATTTGGATATGTGGTAAACTAGGACCACAAACGCGGTGGTTAAACCGAGGTGAAAAGGGGACCCTCAAAGAAGCACACCCATTTTGTTGCCCGAATCGCCAAGCATCCATCAACATCCATCATGACTTGGCAACCCAAAGCTTCTTCCATGTACTCTCGCGTTCTTGCTCCGGTTTGCTGGACATTGACAACAACCCTTGCCTCCCGTGGCAGGGCCCACCAGGCAAGTTTTGTTCAGGAAGAGTTGGGTTCATGTGGCTTAAACCAGTGGACGCTTGTTGCCTTTCCAAGGGAAACCAACAGGAGGCTGTAAACAGCGTGATTTGAACTTGTTGCCATGGGTTGATTCCAGGAAAGGCTCGCCTTGTTGCAAGCCGTTCCTGCAGATGAGCCCGGCACTTGGGGGGCTTGAGATGGGTTTTTGAACTTGTCATTTCAGTGGCACCAGCCGTTCCTTTTTGGTGGAGACCAACAAACAGTGCGCTTTTTCTTTTTTGCCATCGCCGCTAGGCAAGTAAAGCTTTCTTCTACTTGGCGAAGAGCTCATAAGACGTATTGCCATGGGAAGCCACCAGGAACTAGCTAGTTGTGCTCAAGGTGTCACATTGTTTCACCACACCTCGTTTGATTTGGGAATCTTCTGTTTGAATTCATATGTGTGCCGTGTACAGCCTCGATTCTTATGAAATGACATCTATCAGTCATAGTTGTTCATGCACCCTGCATCCCCTAGGCTCGATAAGTTTTCTTTTGTTTACTTGTTGAGAGGAGATACGGCACCGCGGCGAACAACAGAAGGATTGATTGGATCATGTGGTTTCATAGGATAGGGATGTGTCCCGTAGGTTTTACTTGTTCCTCTGGTGCCCCATAAGCTGGCTGGCACTAGATATGGACACCAACCAGACGCCTGGTGGCCTGAGGTTGACAGGAAGCTTCATGCATCTCAAAAGTCCTTTGGCAGCCGACTGGACGCCATGATATTTTTGGGCGCTCATGTTTGATATTAAAGGGGGATTCCAAGCCACTCTCTTCAAGTCGGAAACCTCAAGACACCAAACATGGACTCCCAGCAGTTGATGTTAGCCGAACATCAAATTTTGAGATCCACTGGGCATATGAGGCGCCAGGTCCTGAGTGCGTGACAAACTGGGACAACTCTCCTGCGTGACAAACTGGCAAAAGGGGTCCTCTACAAGTGGTCGCGTTGGGTTTCACGTCAACCTGCCGAGTATTTCCTCGGAAGGCAGCGACTGCTCTTTGGCGGCCGGAGCCTGTCAGACGCGGAGGTGCTGGCAGCATGCCGGGGCCCTGTTTTGGGTCTGTCGAACAATAGCTTGAATCCCATTGGGTTGGTGGTCTAGCCTTTAACTTGTTGGGAAAAAGTCACATCTCCCATCAACCTGCAACAAGTTAAACTCCGGTCCATGGCCCAGGGACTATTCTGCCAAGCTAAACTTGTTGGGAAGGGGGAATAGCCATCAAGATAGGGTGCCCCCAAAACCTGTCGGGTTTCTCATGGTTTCCCTTCAAACAGCAGCCAGGCAGAGATCGATTTCCAAGTGTTCGGAGGCACCAGCCACGAATGTAGCACATGGTCAAGGATCCTATATATGTACATAGATATAAGCATAGATACAAATAAACATTTCAATAAATAAGTAAATAAATAAATACATACATAAATAAATGAATGAATAGGTCAATAAATACATACACATATGTCACATCTATATATATATATAGATATATTTATTACATACATTATGGCCCGTAGGACCTAAGTTCCATGCGGGTCCGCACCTGTCGCTCCAAGGAGCAAACTTGAGGTTTGATCTACCCTCTTGGGACGAACAGACACCCACGGTGCACCCGGAGCTCTTTTTTTTTAACCATCACCGGATGTCCAGGTGCCTGGACTCAGCATGTGTGGAGGGACAAGTTCTGATTCCTTCGAGTCTAAGGTCATACCCGGAATGGAGCATACTCCAAGTGGGTACAAGGGTCAAGGTCACACCAGCAAGTCTTTTGGACGGGACATGTCCGTTTGGACTCCCAAATTGGTTTGCTTTTGGCTTGCCCCTGGGCCCCCCAAAAAATCTCCTGTAACAGACACACACTCATTAAGGAATCATTAAGGGCAGGCAGGATGACCAGGGCCGAACATTGATGCGCGAGGCGGTCTCGAGGATGAGTCCACCGTCTTCCTCTCCATGGATCTGAGCCTGCGGCCCAGTGGGCCGGAGAATGTTCGCGAGGGCTGGGGTCGGCTGCGGTGTCCTGGAGCCCCCTCTGCCCCACTTGAGAATAGCCAAGACCTCCCAAGACGGGCATTTGTGCAGGTGGTTCTACTACCTGGTTGAATCAAGGCCCAGATGAACGATTCCAACTGTGTGGGTAGAACCAAGAACAATAAGGTTTTGGGTGCTGCCTAGCAATGCTCAACGAATTTTAGAACAATTCTAAGTAGAACTGGGCCGACATGAAGCACAATCTTGTGCATATTGCACCACATGCAAACCAGCACCAAACAATACTGGCTGGGTACGCCCAATTCTCCGAATGGGCCTTGTAGTTTTCTGTACTGACTCACTTTTGAACCCTTGACTCATCAGTTCCCGACGGTGTCTTTCTCCTTTCTTCTTTCTTCTTTCTTCTTTCTTTCTTTTTTCTTTCTTCTTTCTTCTTTCTTCTTTCTTTCTTCTTTCTTTCTTCTTTCTTTCTTCTTTCTTTCTTCTTTCTTCTTTCTTTCTTCTTTCTTTCTTCTTTCTTTCTTCTTTCTTCTTTCTTTGCTTGTTTGCTTTCTTTCTTTCTTTCTTGCCTTCTTTTTGTTTCTCGCTCTCTCTCTCTCTCTCTCTCTCTCCCCCTCTCTCTCTCTCTCTCCCCCTCTCTCTCTCTCTCTCTCTGACTCTCTCTTTCTCTTTGTCTATTTTCCTCTTTTCTTTCATTTTATTTTCTCATAATCTTGTTGATGTTTTCCTCTCTTTTTCTCTTTCTCTCTTTCTCTCTTCCTCACTTTCCGGCTTTCATGCTTTCGTTTTGTCTTGCTTGCTTGCTTGCTTGCTTGCTTGCTGGCTTGCTGGCTTGCTGGCTTGCTGGCTTGCTGGCTTGCTGGCTTGCTGGCTTGCTGGCTTGCTGGCTTGCTGGCTTGCTGGCTTGCTGGCTTGCTGGCTTGCTGGCTTGCTGGCTTGCTGGCTTGCTGGCTTGCTGGCTTGCTGGCTTGCTGGCTTGCTGGCTTGCTGGCTTGCTGGCTTGCTGGCTTGCTGGCTTGCTGGCTTGCTTGCTTGCTTGCTTGCTTGCTTGCTTGCTTGCTTGCTTGCTTGCTTGCTTGCTTGCTTGAATATTTTGTCTTTCTTGTTTTTCGTTTGTTTGTTTGATTGCTTGTTAGCTTGCTTGTTTGTTTGTTTGTTTGTTTGTTTGTTTGTTTGTTTGTTTGCTTGTGTGTCTACGTACTCCTTTTTTCCCCCTCTCTCTCTCTCTCTCGCTCGCTTTCTCTGTTTCGCTCTCTTCCTGTATGTAAGGTGTGCAAGCTTCATTGTCCGCTTTATCTCAGAAGAGCCCCTGTTGCCAACAGTTACTTTTTATCAACACCACTTAAGTCGGGAGTTATCCACCATCAACAATCGGGGCTGGATCCATGAGCCTTTATTGGAATCAGGCTGACTTTGGTCAATGGATTGTAGCGTCCAAGTCAAGGAGAAGTGGAGATTTCTCCAGGAAAACCAAAGCAAATAGAGCCAGCAGCAAGCCGAAGAAATCGACCTCCGGCTTTGGGCTTGCAAGTGAAAAGTCGACGGAACTGCCAGGCGGTGGCGGCAAGAAGCGACTTGGCCGACCTTGGGGGCTGGCTTGGGGCAGGATGTGCAAAACGCTTGCCCCCCTCTGAGGACCTTGCTGGTTTCCACGCGAAATCAGCAAGGGGAGGGTTGATTAGAAAGCCACAAAGGGAGCGGTCTCCGATTCTCACAAATCCCCCTGCCACCCCCTGCCGGCACGTGCCTATGCTACCCCAACTCGTACCGGCTAGATACGGCTGTAGCAATGACCATGTTCCATGCTGAGTGTGCGGGAACGAATTGTTTTACCCCGTAGTCAGTTGTGTGATCTGCGCGGGCATCTTCCAAACAGAAATCGCTTTTTGCGTGAAGGCGCAAGAAGAAGACTTACACCAAGCCCAAGAAGATCAAGCACAAGAGGAAGAAGGTGCGGACTCGTAGACTCTTTTCCTTCTGAAGAGACGTGCCACATTTGTTGAACCTGCAGACTGTAGGTTTTGACCCCGCCTCTTTCACACCATCCAGCCACAGCTAGCGCAGGTGAAGCTTTCTGTGCTCAAGTTCTACAAGGTGGACTCCAACGACAAGGCCCTTACTTTCCTGGAGACCAACAAAATGGCATGTGAGACACATGAGCCATGGGTCATACTTCTTGTTCTCCTAGATGGACGTGGTCAATTCGAGGGTTCAATCTGTGGTCTCCCCGTTGTTCCGTTTTTTGTTGCATGGGAAAGTCGAGATGTTTTCGTTTGAACATATGTCCTCAATTGAACGCGGCTGAATCAGGACCATAAATGCGTTTAGTATTCTGGCCGGGCCCTGACCCATGTCAAGAGCAAACACACATGTGGTGCTTGATGAGGTCTGATTCAATCCACTGCAAGGGGTCTTACCAAAGATTTGGGTTTCCGCCTCCTAAGCCCTTCACAGTATCAGCTCAGTCGCTTGCTCGCAGGCTTGACTGACTTGAAACGCCCTCTCGAAATGAAATCTGGCCAAAGAAAGCACAGACCTTTTGAATCACCACTTCCTTGCGGATATGTTGGAGCAAGACTTGGGCCATAAGGCAGGAGGCTTGACAAGGTGGTGCCCTTTTTTTGAGACTTGGAAGCCGGCACAACACGTGACTATCTCAAGAAAGGCAATTATGTATCCATATATATATATATACAGACATGCATGCATGCATGCATGCATACATACATACGTGCGAACGTACATACGTATGTACATACATACATCTGTAATACATATATATATAAAATCACATATGATCTGACCAGCACTTTGGCATTCTTTCAGGTCAGATTCAAATCCACACACTGCCGCTCCGAGCGCCACACCAGCTGCGCTCGCTGGAGGTCACCCGTTTGCGTCGGGAGTGCCCGCAAGAGACCTGCGGCAGCGGGGCGGGAAGCTTAGAGCAAGCAAAGCGGGAAACCCGCTACTTCTAAATTACTCAACCTTTTGTTTAAGTTTCGTCGTGGGTTTGACATGGACATGCGCATAAGTGATATGTATATGTAACATATATATATATATATATGTAACATACTTGCACCGTGATTACACATGGAATGCTTTGTTTAGGGTTGAGTACGCGCACACGCACATGGATTTGTCATTGGAACTACTCAACTGGATTTCGACCTTTTCCCTCTTGAGGCACTTTACTCAACGCAGTTTGACACGCATTCCAGAGAACAGCACGACACGCGCGCTTGTGAGTTCTGAACATTGATGGGTTCTGCTTTCCACTTTTCCAATGGAAAATCCAGGCAGACCGATTTTCCGGTCTGGGGAAAGACGCATCGATTTGGTGGAGTCGCTGCATGCAAGCAGTCCTCAAGTCGCCTGGGTTTGCCTACGGATTCATCGTCCCCCTTGTTCCGAGCCGGCTGTTTGAAAAGTCTTAACATGTAAGTGTGTCTCGTGTATGCCACATCACCCGGTCTCAATTTTTCCAAAGGAGAGCGAAGTCTGGACAATTTGCATTCTGGACCCACAGTAGGAAAATTAGTATTTGGGTTGTTTGAAGGGCTTGGTCTTTGGCCCTTTCCGCGGACTTGAGCTGGGAGAAATGTCAAAGGGGAGTTTATTTCTTGAGGAATACCAACCGAACCCGTTTGTTGGTTGTTTAAACAGGAAACCACCAGGAAACCAAGTGAACAACAACTTTGGGAAACCAGGAATAGTTTGAAAGGGGTTTGGCCCAGTTTGGCGCAAGGCAAATAATTTCACCCTCAAAGCTGTCGGAGCCTTGAGACGCCCGAGGTGTTCATGGCTATGCACTTCAACCGCTACTACTGCCCTTAGCTCGGGCGCACCGGGCACCGAGCGTTGGGCCCACTTTTTCGGGCCGAGGTTTCAACAGGGGGGAGCTCCTTTTGGGAAACCAAAGGACCTCCAAATGATTGGGGAAACCAGAGGAAATCATGCAAAACAGGCTTGAGGGATTCCCCCCGTTTGAGGGGGGGACCCCACATGTTAGTAGGCGGTGGTTCTACTACCTGGTTTCAGGGAGTTTAGACTAAGGCCTATAGAATGCTTTTTAGCCATGTTAGTAGAATCTGGAGTCAATAGGTTTTGGACCCTGCCCAATCGAGGCGGGAAGTGCCACCTCACCTACCTCATCAAGAAGGAGCTGCAAACGTCGACTGGGCACTGCACGATGTGGACGAACGCACTGAGCAAACGAAACTGCGCTTGGATCGGGCAAATGTTCGCTTCTTTTGACGCACTGCATATCCCTGCATAGCTGCATGTGGAGAGGCCTTGTGGACATCCACCTCAACCATGTGCCGTGGTTGCTCAACACACACGTGCCATCAAAGGGATTTCTCAGACGCTGCGGTTGCTTGGGAAAATGCAGCCAGTTTTGTTCGGTGGGCCCCAGCAGGACAGGACGGCACATAGATCGCAAGATGGGAATCAGCCATGGCTTTCCCAGGGTCAAGCAAGCCACGATCCGGACGGACCAAGCCCTGCGTCAGGAGGAAAAGTGACGCAAAGCCGCCATGGAGATTGAGCTGCGGGCCAAAAAGGGTTCAGCGGGCCGCAGTAACTGAAGGGAGTGAGACTGCTGGACAGGGAAACTGCACGGACACATCCATTTGGGACCCACCCATTTGGGAAAAATGCCTTCGTCAGAGACAACCCAGCTGTGGACGAGGGCGACCTAAGGTTCACAAACGGGTCCTGTTCGCTTGCATGACAACTATGTATACAAAAATATATATTTGCGCGACGTGGTCGAGAGGCCCGTTTACCTGGGATTCTCCGAAATGGTCATGAACTACTCCGAAAGCAGGGAATCATGACCATTAATGTTGACCCCCTATTAATCAACCCCAGTTTATTAATAGGGGAGTGTTCCCCTACAAAAGTGAACAATTCCCACTAAAACCAGGGACACCCCCATATTAATAAACAGGGGTCTATTAATAGGGGGTGTTCATTACCGATTTGAGAAGGGCTCAGATAGCACCCAAAAACGCTTCTGATTGTTGTCGGACCTTTTGGGTTTCCAATGGGTGGAAGGATGTGCTGTCCAGAGGCCGATCTTCTAAGTCCGGATCGAGCTGTCTGATATTCAAAAAGACAATGCGGCAACACAGAGCAACATGCATGTTTTGCCGTGCTGGATGTTTGTTGACCGCCAGATGCTTCAAAAGCATCGCAGTCACGTGAAAACGGATGATGCATTTCCAGGCAAGTCTCCTTAGTTCCACTTTCTTTTTCCTTTTTGTCCTGTCTTGGTGGGGGCTACCTCCCAAAAGCAGGCCTCCCCAACATTGGACCAAATGTGTTAAACACCAGACCCTTCTCCTAAACTTCGGGGAGCCAACAGGTCGAGTCCAGGCGTAACCGGTCCACTCCCAAGCGAACGCGCTTTTCCGGCTGTGCTGGGCTCCGGGCCACTGCGGCGCATTGAGCGGAGTGCCGGGGCCTGAGACCGAGGCATTCCGGTGCCTTTCCGTTGCCAATGTGAACAGCCAGTTCCCGGTTCGACATGATGGGTTCCCCGAATGGCCACAATTGGGTGGGAAACCCAAGATCGGGACCTTTCGGCTGGCTGCTCTGGGCAAGCAAAAGTGATCGACCCGTTTCATCTCTTTTGCGGAATATGAGAGTCTGTCAAATCATCAGGCCTCATTTGAACGAGGTCCTGGTCTGCCGTTACTCTGAAGCTGCGGGGCAACCTCAGGAATTGGGGTACAACCTCGAGGCCTACAGGTGGGGTTGTGCACTTTTAAGGGTGGGGGTTTGAAAGAGAAGCTAGGAGGAAGCCGCCGACTTTTTGGGGTCCAACCGATTCCCCGACCGGGTCCGACCGGTCTGGTGGCTCCAAGGGCTGGCCATGCGGCTCTTCGTCCGCGACCTCCAGGGGGCCACGCTGTCGGTGGAAGCCGATGGCACTGTGGCAGCCCTCAAGGTGCGGGGGCGCTCGAGAATGACATCCGTCAGGTTTCTGTGTGCTTTGAGGAGGTTTAGGTTGCCACTTAGTACTTTCCGACTAAATGCATGGTCCCGCTAACAGTGGCAACGGATCGGCAAAGGACCGCCCTGGGCAAAATGGAGACCACCCACAGGCCATATCCCCGGAGTAGTCTTTGGAAGCTGTGCCCCAAAAAAACACGGTCCCCCTATTGTTGCGGGAAAGCGCCGGGGGGGGGGGGGGCAGCTTTCTATGAGTGGCAAAGGAAATCCCCTTGAAAGTGATACATTTAGTCATGTTGAATGCCTCTTCTTGATATCATGTTTGTTTCTGCACTGCGCGTGCAAGCTCCTTGCGACATGTTCGCAGGGGAGTGAGTATTGGAGTTTGGAGTTTCGCGGGGGTTTGCTTGGACTTTCGGGAGCACAAAGGCTCGTCGCGCTGTCTTGAAACCTGCTCCCGGCCACTTGCACTGTAAGCCCATGCCGGAATGGCTCCTGGCAAGGAGGATTCAGCATTGTTGTAAATGCAACACAAGAAGATCGCTCACATTGGGCGAACACTGCCATCACAGACAGAAACGGAGGTAATCAGGGAACAACCTGGAACGCTGGACTATAGATGTAGCAAGTTCCAAGCATTCGGAATCCAAACGTCTAGTTTCCCTTGCTTCGCTGGTCAGAACCGCTTTTTTTTTCTTTTTCTTATTTTTTATTTTACAACGCTAGTAACAACCACAAATTGGTTCGGCCAACTGCCCTTTTTGATTCTTTACAATGGGTCTTAAACCTCTGTGCCAGGTTTTGACTATGACTCCTTCAGGATCCCCCCTTATACTCCGCCAGGATGAACGCGGGGTCAACTTGTCAACAATGCCAGTTCTGATTGGAGCAGCGCACGGCCATTGTGACCCTCCCTGTCCAACAATCGACTACCCTTTTTTCTTTTGGGGGGGGGAAGTCCCCTGTGCACTTCCATGATTGTTGGAAAGAGTCTACCCTCAACAAACATGCGCGCCATCACGACTTTTGGCCAGGAGCAGCTGGCGGTGCTGACCGGCATCCCTTGTGCGGAGCCGGAAGCTGAAAGACGGGCGAGGGGCGTGTTGCCAGCGACGAAAATGGGGGCAAGGGAAACTAAACGGGAATCAAGGGGAACCAAAGGAAACGTTTTCAATCTGGGAGAGCCGGACTTCTCCCAGTTTGAGACAAACCCAAATGGAGCTGCGATAAATTTCGATGAATTCGTGGGTGCGTTGCGGCCGGTCTGTGGTAGAGAACGCTTTGGCATGGACAGATGATGTCGCCCCTTCGAGTGGTCGCACATCATTCAAGGTGCCAGCCTTGTGAATATCGACTCGGTGGAAGGGGCAATGTGATCTTCTGAGTCTTTAAAGGAACGTGAAATGCCCAGTGTATTGCCGTTTGAATTGCGTGACCGTTCTTAAACGGCCTCACCCACAACGCTCCCGATCCTGAAACTTGGAGATTGAGGCAATAGATTGGCAGGAATGATTCCAACCAATTTGCCGGTTCTCTCAGATAACTTCATATCAACATTTCCCTCACGGTTCCTTACATGTTTCATGAAAACCTCACACTAAGCGCAGAGTCATATTAAAAATGGCTCAGGTGTTGTTCTATCACGCCCAGTGGATCCCAGCTACGATTTGGCTTTTAAAGGGTGCTTCCCTTACACTGGGAAATGGAATCACCGGTGGGAAGCCCAGCTGACCCCAAAGGCCCAGGGCCGGAGTCAGCCAGTCGATTCAGGCAGCGCCTTGCCTGTGGCCATCCTCTGAGTGATGCCCAGCTGCTGGCGGAATGCAGGGGGCTTTGCAAGACGCACGTTGCGAGCATTATATTCGGGTATACCACATAGCAACGCATAGCTTGTTTGTTTGTTGGTTTGCTTGTTTGGTTGGTTAGCTGGGTTGTTTGCTTGTTTGCCTGCCTGCCAGCCTGCCTGTAGAGTTCTGAAGAGTGTGTGTGTGTGTGACCCCGTGATGGCGGACCTGAATGGAGAATGTCGTCAGTCATTTGGGGTCCCAATGACTCACTGCCTCGCCGGGCCTTTCTCATTTCAGGGCCTTGAAATGACCTGACGTGATGGTGCAGAGTTTCGGATTTGAACGCCATCTTTTTACATGGACCCACCCAGGACCCATCAAGATCCACGGTCCTTGAAAAGAAAAGGGCTTCTGGCTGATTTCAGCTGAAACTGCTCCCGTGCTGGCTCCTTCTCAGGTGGCTTGGAGGAGGAGTCCACACTGTTCCTGTCCATGGACTTGAGCTGCTCAGTTGCAGCAGTTCCACGAGGATGCGGCAAACGTGGCCGGAATCATTTTGTGGGTGCAACTCAGCTTTCCCCATGTTTTTTTGCCGCAGTCAAGAAGCCTCATACCGAGGATGATCATTCGTTATGTTTGCTTCTACACCAAAGTTGCAGACCTGGGACAATCATTTTGGGCTAGAAAGTGACAAGTCAGCAGTCGATACAGTGGGCTTACCAAAGCGAACCCAGGCCAGTCGTTGTCCTTTTTTGAGCGATAATCAAAACCCGGATAGATTAAGGTTTGTCCGGGATATCCGGCTTTTGATTCTTGACCATTGGTTCTGGGTAGACCGTTGTAGTACCAGGTTTTGATTATATATATATATATATATTGCGCCTCTTTGGGACCCCCCCCAACCCCAACAAGATCCGCCTGATTTGTTCATCCAGGGTCAACACTACCAACAATGCCAGTTCTGAGATGGCTCACATTCAGGCGGCGGCGGCAAGAAGCAGCCTGGCCAGGAATAGAGCTGGAGAGGGACTGCGCTGCTGAGTGAGCCTGGGGAGCCATTGGTTTTCTTGAGCCCCCCTGATTCTGAAGCGTACTCCCCTGATTCTGAAGTGTACTCAAATGGGTGTGTGTTTTTTGGAGGGCGTTTTGGGGTCCCTTATTTTGGGGCACCGCTCATTGAACTCAGTTTTGATTTGCCGGGGCATTCCTTGAGTCACAGCTGTTGGTTCCGGCCTCACTACGGGGCCGGGTCAAAAGCAAGCGCCCCCTTGGGCCATGGTGCTTCTCATAGGAATCGGTCTTCCAAGCGGCTGGGGTTGGTCTCCTTTTGGTGTTTTTGTAACGCCAAAAGGGGGTACACCATGTAGAGAAAAGACCCAGAGGCGCAAGAAGAAGACCTACACCAAGCCCAAGAAGATCAAGCACAAGAGGAAGAAGGTGCGGGCACTCACACTGGTGCAAAGAAGTGAGAGATGTCCGACTCTGAACATCCCCGCCGCAGGTGAAGCTTTCTGTGCTCAAGTTCTACAAGGTGGACTCCAACGACAAGGCCTTGCTTTTTGTGGCCAGCAAGGGCTGCATGCTATGTTTTCCTCCACCAGGAACATGCACCGAGATCTAAGATAAAGTCTTTCCTTTCAAACAAATGGCTTTCCTTTTGTTTTCCTTGCCGCATTCCTTATCCGTAATTTCAGCTTGGCTTGACACCGAGGTCACGCGCTTGAGGCGGGAGTGCCCGCAGGAGACATGCGGCTCCGGAGCTGGGAAGCCGAGACTTGGGTCTATTTTTCCCAGGAAAATTAAAAGGACTAAGGACAACCTACCATTTCGAGGGTCCCTCAAGAAAAGACACCAAAATATACATCCCCAGCTAAACCAAAGGGTCCTGAACGAACACATATACCCAATTTCGCCCATCGGGCCTGAATGGCTCCCCGTGTACCTGTTGTGGGGTCCCTTGCCTGCAATCACAGGATCCCGAGATTTCTCCAAAGGTGTTTTTAACCATCGCCTTGCGTGCCAAGTTTGTGAGAGTTTCCATCACGTGACCCCTGTCACCGGTTTGCAAGTCCTTGTATGTTTCTTCTCGGAATTTAGATGGCCAGCAGCACATTTCGCACCATTTTGAGCGATTGGCCTGGAATCCCATCGTCCACTCGCGAGGAGTTCAAGCCGTTTTGGTCGATTTGCATGTTGACAGGAGCAGTCAGGCACTGACTGGCATTCCGCCCGGGATGATCATGGACGCTAGCTTTTGCCGGCTGTTGCTTCTACCTGAGTGTGTTCGCTGTGCGCAGTAAGCTGCTTGTAAATAACTTCTTCAATGTGCAGAAACCTTTGTGAGACTCACTGCGGAAGGCTTTGAAAAACAATTCTGGACAACATGGGGGGACCAAGTGTGTTGTCAACTTTGGGAAACTGGGGGAAGACCACAGGGGAAGGCTGTAGGGAAGATGTTAGAGTAAGACTATGGGGGACTAAGGGGAGACTGAGGAAGACTGGGGGAAGACTCCAGGAAGAGCTATTGAGGCCCAAGTGATCCAATGCCGACCTGCGTTCTCCAATGTTTCTGCCCTTGGCGGTCCCCGAGTTGCCATCAGCGATAGACAAAGCAGCTACTTTTGCTCTGGGGCGTGTTCTTTGCTCTCCCACCTTCCATCACTCGAAGGTCTCGCCTTTTTCCTCAGGTTTTAGGTTGGCTTTTCAGGGGCGATCATGGCGATCCTTGCCTGGGGTTACCAAGAGGTTTTCTCTGAATTTGCGGTGGTTTCCCATGCGGATGATCGGCCGGCCAGTCAGTTTTGGAAAGCCGCCGTGAGTTTCGCCCGAGGTCTTTATGGCCATGCACTTCAACCGCTACACTTGCCAGCGGCTCATGCCGTGCTCTTGCAACGATTTTCCCGCTTTGGGCGGTTGAACCAACACCATTTGCAACAACTTCAGCATCTCCTTGTGGGGTGATTCTAACGGGGACACATAGAGAACCCTGCGATTTGGCCGTCAGCTGGCGGGGAAGGCTGTCAGACTAGTGGCTCCCACTGGCATGGGCCATATAGCGGACCAGCCCCAGGGTTGGATTCTGGAAAGGTCAAGAAGTCGATAGGTTTTTTGCCTCGTTCCTCGACCAAGCCTCAGTATATCTCAAAATGGGCAACCCATGTTTGGAGGCGGTCGACCCTCACAAGGAAGGTTCGTCATTTGGAAGGCCTTCCACTGGTGTCGCAGTAGTGGGAAATTCCCACGACTCTGAGTCAGTTGGTATCTGTTGCTTGCCTACCCTGCAGCGAAACGGACGCATCGGTGCGCCGCCCTCGTCTCTCAGGTGGGAAGTGCCACCTGACCTACTTGATCAAGAAGGACGGCTACCTTTTGGTCGCTCGAAGTTAATATTTTGAGGGGTTTTTGAACACATTTTCGACCGGGGTGGTTTCCGTGCTCGGGGAATTGTCGTGTTTTAGTTCCCAGTGCTTCCAGTTGCGAATTATTGGTAACCAAAGGAGCTACCATAATAGTAGGTACCCAAAGGGTTCCACACAGAACCTATTCGCAACCCACCCTTTGATTTTGAAATCAAGAGGCCACGGATTCCGCATCGGATGCCACGTGCCGTCGGCGGATGATTTGCCGCCCGGCAGGCTAACCCCGACTTATTGATCCGAACTATTTCGGCTGATTTGTTTTTCACTAAACGGCTCATTTCGTGCCCCCACCCATTCCCTGGCTTGATTCATCCCCGGACCGGGGGGTTCTTGTCTACAACTATTTCAGGGCTCGCGGGGCGTCGCTTGCTCACGCGTCGCGGCACTCTCGATGCGCCGCGCGCGTTGCACAGCCAGCGTTTGTGTCGGCAATTGCTTTCACGCCCAGCCTTTGCCAAAACGCGCATGCGCGTGCACCCGATGATTTCCATGAGCTGAGAGCAGCTGGTCACGGTTGGCTGTTGCAAGCAGCAGATTGCAGCTGAACATCAGATTCATTTAGACTTCTGCTGAATCTTGTTCCTTTTGTGGGCCTTCCTTCGCTTGTCCCGACTCTTTGCACTGCCTCGAAGTGTCCGCAAATGGCGGACCTCACTTGCTGTGCATTTTGGGCCGGTTGACTCGTCTTCTGCCTCTGCTTCCACTTGCCCTCTCAAATCTTCAGCTAACTTTGGTTTCCCTGCTCGTTCTCAAATGAAATGCTTGAGTGTTGCAACTTGAAGCATGGTGAGCTTGCCATCGTTGGGCGTGTCATACGGTCATTGACAACCTCTTTGATTCGCGCTTCCTCCGCAGCTTTCGTCACAACAGGCTAGTTTCCACGCTTTCCCGAAATTCCATCTTACGACATGCCTTGGTTACTGCAATCCTGCCAACAACTCATGGTTGCTCCAGGACAGGACCGGGCAGGCTACGCAACAGGGTCTCGCGATTCACCACACCGAGCGCCGAAGCGCAATTCGCCAGGACGAGAAGTGAGCGCCGAGGTTGACCGCTGAGCCAGAGAAAAGTTCGGCCACCTGACCTGAGTCATTGACACTATTATTGGCGGCAGCCTACTGTTTGGAGCACCCACAAAAAAGCGCACCATCTTGATTTCCAGAGGTTGTGTTGGGGAACAAGTATTTTTGCTTGACACATAGCAGCCCATCGACTCGCCGCCAGTTTGTTGGCCAAACCCTAGTATGGGAGGTGGATATTGTTGCTAGAGACTCGGATGTTGTGAACCTGCACCGAAGCGAAGCACTGGTTATTCCGGCTTCATTTGCAACGGGTTCCGAAGTTAGACAAGGCGGTTTTATCCACGCCTTGCATGAATCGGAGCGAGCCAAAACAAAGCAGCCTAGGTCCCTTGGGTTGATTTTGGGGGTGAATGATCATAGAATCTATCGTTCAGCTAGATACGTCTAGCCCAAAGCCGAGTTGCCGGGTATGAAGGTGCCGGCGCCCTCATGAGGCTGTGCCGACTTTTTACAGAAGGGGTCCAACGGCGGTCCAACTTGTCGATCGTTGCGACCCCGCCACACCCAGTTTAGTCTCCACGACAAACGACAGGTTGGTACTGGGTTTTTAGGACGCACATGGGTGTGTCCAAAAATGGGACCCGGTGCAGCCCCAAATCATATGACTTACATCACTGTGCTCATCCTACCCTGAATCGGTGGTTTGGATTGTTCGGGGATTTGACCCCCCCCTGCTTGAAACCGCATTTTTAGGTACCCCCCAAGCAACAAACCACCACACCAAACCACCAGTTCATCAATTCGGGGTAAACCGATTGCATTTGCCTTTGGGCTCTCCATGCGGGCACTCTCCTTGCGACTGCATCTTCAGCCGGGGGCCTCGGCTGGACTTGACGAGCTTCTGCGCAGCTTGAAGGAGTCATGCTCAGGGTGAGGGTTTGGCTATGGTTCTGCATTCGGGACCTTGTACTTCTTGTTGAACACCGGCTGATCTGGTAGTCGGTCTAGATCATATATATATATAGTATAATACACATATAATATATATATATATATATATACATACACATGTGTATGATATTGTACACATGCGTATAACATATACGTGTATATACATACAGCCTGCCGACGGGTACCGGTGTGGGTTCTGAGGGCTCGGCGCCATGCGGCTCTTCGTGCGTGACCTCTCGGGGGCCACTCTGTCGGTGGAAGCCGATGGCACTGTGGCAGCCCTCAAGGCCCGGCGCGATCAGATTTGCTCGGGCTTCCGAGTTGCAGCGCGAGGGGTAAGCATTTGAGGGCTAGGTTAAAGGCCATATGGTTGGGTTCCTTGTTGTTTCCCTTGAAATATCAACCAACAGGGGGTTCATTTTGAGAGACCCCTAATTTCTCCATGAGCGCAACTTGGCATTTGGGTGTTCTCCGCTTCAGGAGCAGCTGGCGGCGCTGACTGGCCTTCCTTGCGATGAGCTGGATTCTGAGGGTGACAGGGCACCCCTAGTAGTTGATATGGCTGTGGACCAAAAACCAATGGTACCATTTTGGGTAGGTGCACCACCCATTTTAGTCTATTTTAGTGGGGATTGGGATGTTCACTGGGGGGAAGGGATTTTGACCCATGGCCATATTGACGGGTTGAGGGTTTGATCTGTGTGGTTGAAAATGGGAGCCCAAGCTCCGAACCAGTGCAACGCACTTGAGGAGTAGCTAATTTCAGGTGAGTCGGCTCTTCAGAAGCCACGTGGCACTTGGGCGGAAAGCGGGTTGAAAAACCCTTCTTGGATCCTGGCAAGGCGCTTTGTTCTGCCTTCATCTTGCAAGCCAAGCAGCCGAGCTGTGTCAGATGCCTAAAAATGTCTGAGCTGCCCTTCTAAGATTTCCCACCAGGAAAAAGCAACGCATGTGCAGAAGGATGTTGCCACCAAGTTCTCACCAGAGGGCCTTTAGGGGCGGGCGGGTGGCTAGGCAGCGCCTGGCCTGCGGCCGGCCCCTGAGTGATGCCGAGCTGCTGACGGAGTGCCGTGGCCTCAAGGGGGGTCCATTCTCTGAGGCGTTGCGTTCGTTGAATCTAAAAAGCACCTTCTTCGTTGATGGGTAGCGAGTTTTGCTTGGAGCCGGCACCAAACTTGGTTTGTTTGAGTCGGATCTGAAAGGAATGCAAGCCACGAGGAAGCCATCGTTGTCCTTCGCGCTTAGGCGGCTTGGAGGAGGAGTCCACGCTCTTCCTGTCCATGGACTTGAGCCGCTCGGAGGGCACCAGATTCCACGAACCGAGCGATAGGTCCCCTGAATCGATGTCCCTGATGAGCACTCTGGGAAAAAGGGCAGGCATCTTGGTGAAGGGACTATCTACGGCCAATAGGCGTAATTGTCCTTTTGGGTGTACCTACCTGATCCTGAAGGGGTCAAAAGGACCAAGGTCCAGGGCCAGCTGACTCTCCCCGGGCACGCCAGGGACGGTTCGCAGCTTTGGCACAGGTTGGGGAGTTGGGGGTCTGAGAACACACACACACACACACTGTTAATCATAGGGGTGAACTGGAGGCACTGAGACTGGGAAGTTGTTCAGACCTTGCGCCCAATGTGTCCTCAAACTTGTGATGTCTTGGTTCGCGAATCGGCTTCCATGTTTCAGAGTTTGAGTACTCTACCCAGATATATGGAAGTTCAAGTGGCGTTTTTGCATGTCGGATCCATCGGCAAGTTTGAGGGATGATGGTGGTGGTCATTTCTATTAAGAGGTAGCTGACGGGTGACCCACACCAGGAGTTTTGACCATCGTATGCATTCCTGCAATCAGTAGAAAGGACAATGGTGTACCGAAATTGCATCGCGAAATCGTCATTTTTGGGTTGCTTCCAGCCGTGAGCCCCGAAATGATCAACCACGTTTGAGTAGAACATTGGTGGATGTTCTTTTTGATCTTCCGATCGGGTCTGGGAGCACCGCTGACAATGAAGCCCTGGGCTTGTCTGTTTTGGAGTAGATACCCTTTTGAGGCTGTTTTCTAGGGAAATCAAAGGGAAATCACCCGTTTGGTTGCTCCCCAGGAGACAAAGCCACATGATTGAGCCACGCGAGTTTACACCTCGCTTTGGCATCCCATTGGACTTCTTCCTCAACCAACTTTGACCTTGCCGGCCAGTGACAGACTGATTTTTTCCTACAGAGGTGCCAGGTCGATCGGCTTGCAGCCCGACTTCAGGCAAGAGCATAGCTGCTTGAAAGACAGGGCCTGGCCACCTTCAACGCGAACCCAAAACGAAGGTTGTTCAAAGTAGTTTAAATAAGTTTAAGCTAGGGGTCTACAGTTGTGTGGTACAGAGCCTTAATGCAAGGCATTTGTGAGGTAGGAAGCTCCTTGACTCTTGTTCCTTGGTTTTACTGTTCAGCTTTTCGACAAGACATATGTTTGTTTACCTTGAACCCTTCATTTCGTGGAAAGAAGCCCTTTCAACCCCTGTTTTGGCAGACAACAACTTAAATATCATGTTGCCCCACGAGGTAGCAACACGTGGCTCAGTGGTTTGCAGTCACTTGGACCGCCCCCGCCTTCCACCCTTCAGCTTGGAATCGAATTTGTCTGAGGCGGCGGTGGCAAGAAGCAGGGGCCCTGGCCAGGGACGGTGAAGGAACTCATCTCGGGGTCCAACTGTGGCGCCTGGCCATGTGTGCTCATCAATGTATATAATTGCAGTCATTCCCAGTGCGGTGATTCCAGATATGTTCAAGGGTAACAGAGGGCTGGTACATTTAGGTGTCATGCGATGGTATCTTTTGGTGATCGACCTGATTCAGTCGGTTTTGAAACAACAGTTGGCCCAATGTATTTAGGCGCTATGCCTGAACCTGCGGAATGGACACGGCTTCTCCCTGTGCTTCTTGTTGGCTTGTTAGAAGCTGGGGCGAAGAGGTATGGCACCTAGGGCTTTGTCGAGTTTCAGTTTGCGGGTGCAGAATGGACCAATTCGGGGAATCCTTTTGGGAGGTTTGTTACCAGACAACATCCCGCGATGCACGCTTCAGAAATTGTCTCATTCACTTTGCGCTTCACACAATGAGGGGTTGAGCCCACTCACCCTGGTGTCATGGGATCTTGTCAAGGGAGGATGTTAACTTGGCGCTAACTTTCCGCATCTTTCAGGCCCCCATGTATTGTGCTTTAGGGGTCCCCGGTTCTTGAGCCACCCAATGTTTTGGCCGCAAACCGCAGGTGGTCCGGAGTTTTCCAGAAAGCTTTGCCGCTGAATGGAGCATACGAGGACAACACAGTATGTCCTTGGACTGTTTATTTTGAAGCTGCGGGACATGCCATCAGATTGCCAGTTGAGTTGGCTATTTGGCCTCATGGAAGGGACATGTCAGGATGCGAGCTCCTCTGACATGGGGGAGAGGTGTGGCGCCCGCAATGTCAGAGGCGCAAGAAGAAGACCTATACCAAGCCCAAGAAGATCAAGCACAAGAGGAAGAAGGCATACCGGAGCTTCGGAAAGGAGTGCAGGAGAAACTTTGCGTCTTGTGTTCCAGCGCAGACAAAGCCTCAGATGCACCACAGTCCGGTTGAGATGTGAGCCTCGTTTTTGGAGTCCAACAGGACATGGGAAAATCAGGTGGTCCCCTTGGTTTTGGCGGGTACTCTGGGCGGTGGCTACTTGTTCATGTGTTCTATCGTTTGTTTGTCATCATTCTCGGTGCTAAACCAAAGGCCAGTCAAAGAGCACAAGAGCAGGACGATCTCGCCAGGATCTGTCCGAAGCCTTTCGCACGAGTCGGCTCCCAGCTAATCTCCGGCTTCAGAACAAAAGCTATGAAGCACCGGATCACGCACACAAGTTGTCGTGTTTGCATTGCTTGGGCACTCTCTTGTACGAACACATGCGGGCGTATGGTGAGTGTAGCCATTTGAAGCCTTCTTTGAGGAATTCATTTGGGGTTCTCAAATTGGGGTGCATGATCTTCCCTTGTTTGCCCTTGGTCTCGAACGAAGGTTTCCCTGAACACGGCACCCATCCACATTTCGGCTTCGGTTTCAAGCCTGGGAGGTGAAGCTGGCGGTGCTGAAGTTCTACAAGGTGGACTCCAATGACAAGGCCTTCACATGTGGGCGGGGAGGGGATGGGGGTGGGGGGATGGGCATGAGTTTCTTTCACCCGTTGCAGTGAGGTGTATTTGTGCTGGACTTCTGGTTTTAGGACACTTTGTTCTGGAGTTTCAAGCAGAGGAATTTGGCTAGGGCTGCCCTGGTCTCCGACCGCATCAGCCCCTTGCTTTAAAACAGCAAGAAGAGGCCTTAAGAAAAAGGCAAACCCATTTGACAGTAGCTGATATCCAGTAAATGTTCCTTTGATTTGAAAAAGGGTCGGCAACAGCTGCTTGTCTTGGGAAGCATTTGGGACTCTCTTGGTTTCATGGTGGTTTCCTGTGACACGGCCACCAGCTTTGACAGGGTTTGTCTCCTAATGGGGTCCTTGTTCTGGCAACTTGGTGTCTAGGGCCATTTTCTCCGGAATCCAAGATACTCTCGAAGGTGATAAGGTGGTCATTGGAATGGCCCACTTTGGAATCGCAGAAAGGGTTATCCTTCCAAAGGGTTCCTCAACATGGTGGACCTCTTTGGTGGAAGCCAAAATGAAACCTGCCCCATTTTTAGGGGACAACTCCGCCGGCCCCGTTATCCCGATAGGTCACGCGCTTGCGGCGGGAGTGCCCATCGGAGACATGCGGCTCAGGGGCGGGGAGCCAAGTAAGTGGCCGGCTGTTTGGTCAAGTTGGTTAGTGGGTGGTTAGTAGGTTGTAGGAAATATTCCTGTCTTGTAAACCACCATAAAGGATTCAACCAAACATGGTTCCCAATCAAAGGCGGGCCCAAAACTCACTCATCCCAGGGGAACTGGTCAGCAGTTTGCTGCGTTTGCTCGATGGTATCCAGAGAGGCGTCGAAAAGATGTTGTCTTAGTTATGTTAGCGTGATTGAGGCAGGAGCAGCCGATTTTGCGCTTGAAGAAGCCCCTGGTTGAGATCAGCAGGGGGGTTTTGTGAACATAGAATGTTAAAGGGACTCCCCTATTTAGCGCCAGCATGGGCATTGCTTGATCGGTAGCTGCAGCAGGTACTTGAGCATCGCATTCTCCAGTACTTGAACCACTGCCTTCCAGTTCCCCAAGTAGGCCCCTACCCCAACAGAAAGCTCAAAAATTCCCACAGGGGTACACCATTTTCCATCTTGAGCAATGCGGGGCAGAGGTCTTCATGGCTATGCACTTCAACCGCTACACCTGTCTTCGCCTCAGCTTGCTCCCAGCGAGTCGTGTGTCAAACACGGCCTTGTCCAGCCGCGTTTGTTTCCCTGTTGTTTTTGGGACAACGCATAATATGGCAACTACATGTCCCAGGTCCCAAGTCATCCAGGGCAACACGTCGTCAAACGCGGTGGCTGCAACAGGGCCTCATGTCCAGCTTTTGGTACTGGGCTCAAGAGGGGCCCATTATTTTTGACACCAAGGTTTTGCGCGAGGTTTTGGGAAAGTACCGGGCGCCCTCCCTGATATTGATGTTGTCAACGGACCTTTCAAGAAGCTCTGGATGGGGAAATGCCAGATCGAACACCATATCATCCCACGAGAGTTGGACGTCTGCTGTGGATGGTTCCACTTGGCTACTTATATCTTTTCTCGTCCCTTGCTTTGGTTGTTTTTAAAGGAAAGCAAACCAGCACCACTCATTTTAAGGGTCCTGTCATTTTGAGAGACACCCATTTCTGCGGCCCGAGGAAGGGCCAAATGCGTTCCATTATAAGAGACATAGATCTAGTCTTTGCCCCACGCAGGCGGGAAGTGTCACCTGACCTACTTGATCAAGAAGGACAGACCGACAGCTTCCCTTCCTTTGAAGTGGCCGCAAAGTGTCCACTCCCCGAGTGAGGCAGATGTGGGCCCTGTCAGGGGCCTCAAGCTTAAAGGCTTTCTTTCCTCGTGCGACAAACTGAGCAAGGTTGTGTTCAAGGTGAGTACCTCGGCACCTCTGCTAGCTGGTGACAATGTGGAATTCCCTTGGCCGCGTAATGCATTACAATGCCCAAAACCCCCCAAGACTTGCATCTGAGCTCACTTTGAGACCTGTCGTCCACCCTGCGGCCGGTACTGCGGATATGTACATAGAAAGCATGAATGCATGATAACACAAGATGCACGGATGTGCCTTGATATAAACTGGTTAATCTATTTGCATACATACGCACATACGTGCATACATGCTTGCATCTGCATGCACATTACCTATGCAAAGAGGCGCCTTACTTGCTGGTTACACTCAAGGGCACCACGGTTGAGTTTCAGGTAAGCGGAGACACAACAGCTTGAGTTTCCACTCTCCGGACTTGAGCAGTGGAACTTTGCTGTGGCCTCTGACGCTTGACATTTTGGAACGTTGGCGGTTTCCCCACTCGCCAAGCAGTTTGTAAACTTCCGGGTTCTGAGACCCGCCTAGTTGTGGGGAGTAATAAGTTTGCACTTGCTTTGCCTACCCAAACAGGTGCCAGCGGAAAGGGAAATCCCTCAAATAGCCATGTGTGAATATTCCAAGGCCCATGTTGTTTCGAGAATCACCAGAGTTCTCTAAGCTCGAAAAATCCAGCAATTAGAAAATTGTTCGCTGCCTGAGAGGGTGCCAGAAAAGGGCGATCACCGATCCAAGGTTTGCACCATCACAGATTTCCTGACCGCTATATTGTAGGGTGTATGTTCGTGTATATACCCCCGACAGTTCTGTTGGTGTGGGGGGTTGCGGGACCAGGGCTCCGGCGGGGTTCGCAGGACGAGAAGTGATTGAGCCGTTCGCCGCAGAACTATTGCCGAGCTGGAGAAAGGGGGGGCGAGCAGTGCGAGTGGCATTCCTTGCAGGGCTAGCCCATCCCCTCCTAAAGCTGGTCGGGATCTCGGGAAAAAGTTATCAGTGTAGGGAAGAAGACTCTTTGTTGGAAGAGCACCTTTTTCTCCCCCACCTGCCACTGCGGAGCCATCGGTTTTCACTAATTGCCGCACCCAGAGACAGCTTCGCCGTTTTCCGGTTGCCGGCTCATAGCCCCTTCCCATCGTGGGGTTGAAGCGTGGAGCAGGCTGGGCTGAACTCAACAGGTTGCTGAAACAAGAGGGGTGTGTAGTTAGCATCGGATTCATCCAGAGGAACCTACTTATTTATGAGGAATCCCCCGACTAGAAAAGCAACTACTCCTGTTCAGTATAATCCAGATTAATCAGACGTTGACGTTAAATGTGTTACTTCGATGTTCACAAGTTCTGCGAAAAGAAAAGAACAAAAAGAGGCCGGGTCCCTCCCGTTGTGCCCTTGGCCAAGATCCCGCGGCGGGTGCAGGCTGCGCAGCTTTGACGCGGGCCATGCAGATCAAGGTCTTCTACAGTGCTGATAGCCCAGCACTCAGTCAAGCTCTCGATCGATTCACATGGCGGGGGGGGGGGGGAGGGTGTTCCCCCAAAAGTGAAAGATCTCTGAAATGGGATACCTTTCTATGAATCAACCAGGGGTGTGCTCATGCGCGTGGCAGAAACGGCCGTTCTGTCTCCTGAAGGGGCAGGTTGATCATTTTATCTACAACGGTGAGTAGAACGCGTCCTCATCAGCCGCAGTTTGTTTGATGCTCATGTCCCCTTTTTCATCAATCATGGACGTGCGCATAGTGCACATGGGCGGGGACGTTGGAAGGCTATTATTAACTTATAACGGTCCCTTGTTCACTTCCATGATTGATGAGAAGAGGTTAGCTGTTCTCGTTCAGGCAGCATATCTGTCCTTGGGGGCATCCGAGCAGAGGATTTAGGCGAGTGTTGAGGAGTATCAGCACAAAGCACCTTCGATTGGGGTGCAAGTAATCAGCAACCATGGCTCTCATATTGAAGACAACGTTTTTGTTCTCTCGCGCTGTCTCTCTTTCTTTCTCTTTCTCTTTCTCTTTCTCTCTCTCTCTCTCTTTCTCTCTTTCTTTCTTTCTTTCTTTCTTTTGCCCTGCTTCTCTCCCTCTCCCTCTCTCTCCCTCCCTTCCTTTCCCTCTCCGTCCCGCTCTGCTGATTCATGCAAGGACTTGCTACTCCAGAACTGCGCTTGGCAGCGAAGTCCCACACTCTTTTTTCAATCTTTTTTATTTCCTGCCCATCTCCTTTCCATTTCCTTTCCATCTCCTATTCATTTTCTTTCCGTCTCCTTTCCATTTGGACTTCATGAAGGCCACTCTCATTTGGACACAGTGTGGCTGCGCCGAATGCCAAGCCTTCAAGGAACTGCGTCAGCTTTGCTGACCGTGTGCTATTGGAGGCTTTTCACTATGTTTGGTTTCCAATAGGTACTGTACTTGAATACTGTTTGAGTGCAACAAAGAGGAGGTCCCGCAGCTTCGACATGCTTGCCACTATGAAGGCTATGAAGATCATGATCCCGTGCTGCCTATGCAGTCCCAGCATAACAGATTTGTGGGCCTAATGGCACCAAACAAAGGTCGCCGTTTCAGCCAAGTCATTGCATGGGACTGCGTCAAGGTGTTTGGGCAGGGGTGGGATATAACACCTGGGCTTACCAAAAGAGCGGCTCCGATTTTCCACTGGGAAGCGAGGTAAGAGCGCCTTGCTGGATGTCCAGCCCTCCGACACGGTCAAGGTGCGGGGTTCCATGTGACCACGTAGAATTCTGTAAACCCAGGACTTCGTTTCCCTTTCGGGAAATTCACACCTTGGGCTCAGCCCCGATCGGCTTTCGAGGCCGTTTTGAGGTTGTTTTGGCAGTGATCTTACCGGCCGGTGGCGGTTTTTGATTGCTCCCTATCGACACTCATTTTGGGAAGGCAAGCTAAGCTAAAACAGTGCCCATACAACACATCTTGATAGTTCCTTGTCAGTTTTTAGAGATTGAGCTGTATCATGTTGGTCCTTTCGTGCGGCAATCATGTTGGTCCTTGTGGACGTCTTCTTTCGAGGGCACCCTTTTCCCCAAGAGCTGGGAGCCATTGCAGCTGAGGGTTCTGAGGGTTGAACGGAGTTCCGTGGGATCCCAAGTTCCATTTTGGAAGTTCCGGTCTTCCATTGGAGTTCCATTTCGGAGGGTGCAAAACGCGTGGCGTTTGCCATATAAAAAGTTCCCGGGAGGTTCACGAAGCAGTTGCTTCAGTTCTCAGGTTTTGACAGGTCCCTCTTTTGCGTCTATGGAGTGGATGGCTGGATACAGCAGGTTCCACGAAGTTGCTGGATTGCGCTCTGGGGTGTGTGGAGCGCTTGTTGCAAAGTTCGAAGTTACTGCGGGCTAGAGTTCCCGAATGGGTTGCGGCGGTTGCTGTTGGGGATACGACCGGTGCTCTTTTTGTTGGCGCTTGTTGTGGTCTTTGACCTGCAAGTTTTGGGGGCTTTTTTCCAACAAGAAGGAACACACACCAACCATGTGTTAAGATAATTGTTTTGATCACTGCGGGAGGGGGGCATGGTAGGCGACATGTGAGAGGGAAACTAAGGGCTAGCACACGCTAGGCATGTGCTGGAAAGTTGCTGGACCCGGACTAGACATGTGTGGGAATAGGGACAGAAAAACCATACAGAAAGGCGTTGAGAAATGCAGCAGGCATATGCTGCGATGGCAATTCTCTTTGCCATTCTGCGATGGCAGTGCCAATGTGCTGACAACCACTTCCAGCCCAGAACCAGACACGCCCTGTCACACACGAGCTTTCCGGCTGGTGAGACTTTGGAGAAATCAAGACTCGCGACCAGACTGCAATCTGCGACCTTTGTCGCTGGTATAAACGTCTAGGAGTCTAGGAATGCCTGGGACCCGGATATGGAGGGCATCCCCGGTATTTCGGGCTTTGCAGCCACTTGAAACATCGCTTGGGCCAGTGTTCAGTGAGTTTCCTTTTGGTGATGTTTAGAGAGGAAGATGTAGGGAGCCCTTCCCAATAGTTCCGTGCTTCAGGCGGTGAAGCAGAAGATCATCGCCCTCTACAGCCCACCGGCGCGCGGGGGTCAAGGGAGGTCCCCCCTCCCCCAAGGCGTGGTTCTGTGCCTTCCATTCAAAGCCTTAGGGTATCCTGAAAACAAGAAAGACACATCCCCAAAAGCAGTTTGTTGAGAGTTGCCCCTGCATGTCCCCCTTGTAGCTTGCAGGGTCTTTCGAGCCGTCAGTATGACCTTGTTGAATGATCAGCGGCCGTTGGTGGCTGAGGTTTAAAGATACACTTTGCGACCAAACATTTGCAGGATTGCCCCCTGCACAAACTTTCCTGGAACCTCAAACGTCCTTTTCCCAAAAGGAGATGCCTCTCCGAACGTTTTTCTTTTGAGGAATTCCATGACTTTTCTGGCAGCTTGTGGCCATAGGGTTCCCAGTCGCCCGGCGAGGACTGGGCCAACACGGCGCTTCTGTCCACCAAGGGCTCCACGGACTACTTGGAGAACAGGATGGGTGCGGAGAAGGGAGATAGATCAAGACCTGATATTATACATATATATATATATATACACACATGTATATGTGTATATATATATATATACATGTGCGTGTGTTCTTTTGGGGCTCGGTGCAGTAATTATCCCTGTTGGGATGGTGTTAAAGGGAAGTCAGAAGGAAAACAACAATTGGTTGGGTACCCATTTAAGCGGTGCAGGAGGAGGGTCAACGTTTGCTACGTGGCATGCAACTTGCCCTGGTTGTAGCCTCTTGATGCCTCAAGAATGGTTGAAGTCATGCCCACCACCGGGTCCTCAAGTAAAGAACGACCGTGATCACCTTTGTGCAGCAACTGGAGTTCGTGGCCGCTTGGCATTGCAATGAATACACTTTTTGAAACCATTTGTTTTGCATGTCGACTGGCACGGACCATGTCAAGAGGTCAGGTAGTCCCTAATTGGTGGTTTGGATACGTGACTTGGTGTGAACCGCTGGTTCTTGCAGAGGATAAAAAACGAACCAACAAAAAAAAACAGGTTGTGGGGGGAGCTGGAATGACTGATTTCCATCCACGCGGCCTTTTGATATCCTCCCAAATACCACGGCCGCGTGTCTTATATCCAAATACAACTTGTGTCACCATTCGTCGGAAGTTTGGGTTTGAAGCAGATGGCCGTGGCTCCGCGAAGGGGATCTTTACCAGGGTTGCGAAGGAGCCTTTCTGGTTTACCGCAGGGTGCACTTTGCCAACGACTAATGCCACAGGTAAAAGGCACCCTAAGGGCCATGTGGAGACAAACTATATGGACGATTTGTTGGTCTGGGATGAAGGGCTGGACTTGAAACCCGGGATTTTCCGTGCCACACATTGTATGTTTGCAGGAACACGTAGTACACCTCTGCATGTTTTTGGGCAAGTAAAAGCGACCAAGGGTTTGTGATGTTGCCAAGGTTAATCTTGAATTTCAGGCTCCCTTCTTTCAGGGAATTTCAGGGTCTTGAAGTACCATTCATCCAGTGGTTTGTTTGTTTGTTTGCTTGCTTGCTTGCTTGCTTGCTTGCTTGCGTGCTTGCTTGTTTTTCCCCCAACAGCTGAAAGCTTTGGGGTCTCAGCCCAGATAGGCTCCGGGGTGGTCCGGGGCGGCCCTGAGGTAGGGTTCCTCGAGGGTTCCACCAAAGTTCCACCAGGGTTCCACCAGGGTTCCACCAGGGTTCCACCAGGGTTCCACCAGGGTTCCACCAGGGTTCTTCCAGGGTTCCACCAGGGTTCCACCAGGGTTCCACCAGGGTTCCACGAGGGCTGCAGGGTGCGAGCACTAAAAAGAGCACCGCATGCTGTTGGGGATATCACCTGAGCCTATTCTTTGTGTTGGGCACGACAAGGGTTTGAAGCGGCAGCTACCGGCGAGGAAGAGGTTGGCGCAGTGCGGTGTCGAGGAGCCCCGTTGGTCAAGCGAGGGGGGGCCGGGGGGGGGGGGGCTTCCAGGCTTCAGTCGAATTCCTCAGACCTTCGCCGAAAGTGTCCAAAAGAGTTGGACCCGTTTTGGGCTGGTTTCAATAGGAGAAGAGGACCCCAAAGGCTTGGAAGGGTTCAGGTTGATGTGACCTTTTGCATAACCCCCTTTGGCCATTCCTAAATGGTACGATTCAATTGTAAGGCGATGCTCTTGCTGAATTTTGCAAGCCCTGTTGCCTGAACTTGTCAGATCCTGCGAACCGCGTATTGACCTTTGGCACTTTTGTTGAAGCGGCAAGGTGCTTGATGGCAAGCCAGCACTTTCAAGCATTCAGGGGTTCGCCGGCCCAATCCAAACCCATTTCCGGTTGATGGCGAATCAACCGGAACCTGAGTCCGGGTCGGTGACACGCCGGAAGTGCCCATGCCGATTTTTGGCCGGACCGGCCGCCTGCTATAGGATCAGATCTATTTGTCGGAGCGTTGCCGGCCGGGTTTCCTTTGGTACTAGTCCTTTGGGTTTGGAAGCAACTGGATTTTAAGAGGAACTCGGTGCCGCTGCAAGGCGTGCCCTGACATGTGATACTCCCCAACACGCTTCAACCCACATGTGATGCACACATGTTACATATTTGGGGCACATGAGGGCGCAGAGTTGCTTTCAATGTCGGAAAGGTTGGATAGCCAAAGTATCCGGCCTGAACTCTGGTTGCTCTTCCAACCGGATTGCGCTTGCCTCCGGTCGGCGCCATCTATCGGCCCTTGTTGCCTGAGGACGGTGCGAGCCTGAAATTCGCGTACGCGAGGAACTTGAATCTCATGGAGAAGGTGGAGCTGAGCTGCCAGGCAAGCGGTGATCCACGGAGCACGCTTTGGCCATTGGGATGTTGTCCGGGGCTCCGGTGTGTTTGAGCCGCAAAACCGGGGCTTCGGTGTGTTTTAACCGCAAAAAGTGAAGTTGCAAATAGGCAAATAGGCAGTCAGAGGTTCCACATGGGTTTGTCTCGCAATGTGGGAGCCCACAAAACGTCTGGTTTATTTTGGTTTCCCCTTAAACCCGAAAGGCGGTTCCCCCCAAAAAGGTAGGTGTTTTCGCCTCGACTGCAGGGCGTCAAGACGGAGACGTACCAGCTGCCAGCGATGTCCATCAGTGCCGTGGGAGGCTTTTGTTGGAAAGATTGAGGGTCCTCTTCTATGCCTCATGGCGAGCCACGCGGTAACACAGCCCGATCCCTGACTTTTGGGTGTTGAAAGCAATTCCGGAATGGGGAAATCTTCACCAATTTCTCAAACAGTGCCCAATTCCGAGAGATTCCAGCGTCAATCCTTGAACTGTGTTTTATCACCAGGAAGATGATCCCTTGCGCCCAAGAAGCGTGTTCTTTGCAATAGCAAGTTCAGGCCAGCACTGAGGTTGCTCTACTTCCTCTTTTTGGGAACTCCCTTTTGGTGGGTGTTTAAAGAGAACCCAATAGGACTCCCTTCTCCGCGCCCATGTTTGCAAACTCACACATAACCTTGTCGCGCTTGTTTGGCTATCATTCGCAATCGGGACCACCTTCCAATATGGTCGATAGTCACAAATCCCCATGTACACGATATCCCCACGTTGTCCTCCTAATGAGCCTATTGCAACTGAGTCATGTGCCCTTGACATTCAACCCATGGCCACTGCTTGTGGGTTGTCAGGTACTTTGCCCCCGCAGCTGGCAGCGTGAGGGTGCAGTTTCATCCAAGAAAGACAAGATATGGGACAGTTTCATCCAAGAAAGACAAGATGTGGGAAAGGTTCATCGAAAATGAGAAAGGCAAGATATGGGAAAGGTTCATCGAAACTGAGAAAGGCAAGAGGCGAGAGAAGGCGAGATGAGGCCTGGCGGAAGTGAATTCTTCCCTATGCGAGCAAACAAGCTGCTTGAGCGTGCTCCATTGGAAGTGTGTTCTGGTTTGGCAAACTTAAGCACCCCACATTTTTGGCACCTTGAGCCCATCAATTCAACGTTTGATAATAGCATGGCCATTCCACTTTGAGGCACCGATCAAGCATCATCACACCACCTCTCACACGTATTCCTGCTGGTTGCTTCAGCTAAGGGGGGACATTTTAGAGGGATCACAAGCTAAGCTCACGTGGCACAAGCGAATCTTTGGCCCGGCCACGCCGTGTCTCCTTGTGGTTTTGCTTCGCCGGCTCTGGTAGAGACAGGCCGGCGCCAGAAAGAGGGCGCCTTGTGGCCGTTTCCGAGTAGAGCCTCGAGGCATCTCATCAGCTGCGGAAGGCACAGCCGAACCAACCCAACCTTTGCTCAACCCCACCCCAACCCAACCCTTTAACAGCGCCTTTTTGGCTGGTCAATGCCATGGTGCAGCCATGAGCCATTTGCCGTGCCTTGCAAGGCCTGCGAATCGCTCAATGTACAGCCACTGGGGGACATTGGAACAGGCAAGGGCAAGGGGGTAGGGGTCAAACACTCAACAACAACCTTCGCCGAGAGCGTCTTATTTGAAAGCGCAGGTTACACGCCCAACGCATCCATCCATAGTGTGACTCAAAGGACTTTGGTCGGGGCAGGCAAGAGCATCGCATTCCAGCTTTGGACGGCGCATGCCCGTTGCTTTTGTTTGGAAAAAGCTACCAACCGGCCTGCTCTAAACCTTTGAATTGGGGGATCTCCGGCCCGCTACCCGCGAAGGTCTTTTCCGATTGATTTCACTTCAAAGCAATCCCGAAAAGGGCATCATCAGAAAAAACGAGACACCCATCCGTTGTTTGCAGAGCTGTTCCCCGTACAAGTTTTCGCGTGTTGGTGTGTATTTGTTGATATGCCGCATTGGAATATTTTCTTCTCAGATTCTCCGGCGAGCAAGGCAAGGGGGACATCCCGAATCATGGGACCTTCAGATCCTTAGTCCACAGGGGTGCTTTTGCCTGAGTCTCGGGGCCAGAGGCTCTCTCTTGCCCAACTTTTGCTCGTTTCGAGCGCTTTTGCGAACGCTCGACCCCATGAATCATCAAGGGTTGAGGCTGAGATGAGGATATGCCGCACAGCCGGGCACCGCAGGCAATAGAGATGGGCACCCATGGAAGGCAAGGTGGGGGGAGAGTGGACCTCTAAATAGCCAGGGGTCGGCCTCAGTGAACACAGCCCCCTCAAAACAGTTTGCTGCAACAAGCACAACTCCGACTTGGTGCCGTTGCAGCTTCGACATCCAGCGGAAATATCATCCCAAAGCGCAAAAAAAAGCTGTGTCTGCATGCGTGCACATGTGCCAAATACAGCGCCCACTAAATCAGCATCCCCGCCGGGGCTCATGGACCTCGAAAGGTCCAGTCCAACTGTGTTTCGATTGAGAATTCGTTCCCTCTGGCCTCGAGGCCTATAGAGTTCAGAATTCTGCACCAAGCCAGTGTTCGTCAAACAGCAAGGTGAGAGTTTGCATTCAGAGAGAATGCTCATGGAACCCCTGCGAAAATCATTGGGCACCGACTTCCTCTCTTCGGTGTACTGGATTCAACAAGATCTTGTGCGAGATGTATTTGTAGTGGGATTCTGAGGGCTTCCAGAAACTACGTGACATGGAGGACTCGCAAGTAAATCGACCACAGATGCTCGAATCGGGACGGATCCCTGGATCCAATCCGAGATTTTGGCCCACCGGGTTTGGCCCGAGGTGACGACGAGCCGGACCCGGAAAACTCAGGCGTGGAAGTCAGACGGCTCGGCCCTCCGCGCGACTTGTGTCTCAAAATGGTCAGTGTCCAGGTTTTTTGCTTGAAGCCAACCGCAGGGATATTCTAACAATGAGATCCTTTGCCTTTCGTTTTCTCAACAGCAGCTGTGGAGTAGAACGGCCAATCCTGGAGTTGGGATAGAACTGGGGCCAGTGGGTTCTGGGCAGAGCGAATTTTGAGGATGCTTTGGCTCATTCGTCGAAGCTGTTCAGTTTGGACAAAGCAAGGCAACACGAGCTTGTCATAGTTTGACGATCTGTGGTTCGATAAATTGTTAACTGCATGGAACAACACAGGGTCAAGGATGCCTCCAAGATGAATTGATCATGCTACTTGTGATTGAAGTACCTCGGTCCTGACATGGTCAAGTGCCTTGGCAGGTGAGGACGCAACAGGGACGAGGCCGGAGCAGAACTTATCCAGCTGTCACTCTGTTTTTGCCGGTGTCGCCATGTTCCGACGTTTTTATGCAGCTTGAATATGCTGAGAGCTTGGAAATTGATGGTTTGACAGCTGACCTTTCAAGTGCCAAGTGGGCGGTTGTCAAAAAAATGGAAGCCAAAGCCTCCTCGGCCCCCTCAATGTCTTTACAAACCTTTGCCCGCAGGGAGTTGGCTTTTGGTTGTCTGAACTTTGCTTCCGGGTGCGGACTGTAGGGAGAGCCTTCCAAATGACAATCACAAGCAGTGAAACCCGTCGGTTTTGGTTGCCCATGGGCCCTGGGACCACGTGCCATTTGCATGGCGGAGGTTGAATCAAGATGAATCAAGGCCTTGGGAAAGTGTCAAGCTCAGGGACCATTTTTTTTGGCTGGTCAAGCAAGCAAAAACCGGAAGGAGACCCACATGTAGGATGCATCCAAACTTACGGACACTGGGGTGGACATGATTCACAAGATGTATGTAACCATAGACCATTGTGAGGTGTTTCCCGAATACCAACATAGAGGCATCCCCAGCTGGAGTGATTCATAGAGGCATCCCCAGCTGGAGTGATTCCTTTTGGTTCCTTTTTTTTTAACCAACCTCAAGAAAACGTCGCAGCTCCAAAAAGGCGCTTCCCTGTTATATGCGTGGCCTATCTGCACCACATCATTGGTCCACCGAACATGGCCTATAGGGAAAGAGCCGTTCCCGCGGGAGCAATGCAGGTCTGCAGGTCAAGAACATTAGAACCCTACCCCACTGAAAACCATTCCGAGAAGAATCTAAAATAACAACCTTCTTTCTGGTTGGTACCTGTGAAAGAAAGGTTCTAAGAATTGTACCCTTCTTCTTTTTGGTTCTCGTGGTTTCTTTCATTTTTCAGGTACCAGGGGTTTGAACCCCCGGTTATTGGGGGAAAGGGAAACTACCAATCCAGAACACCTCCAAACCATCCGATCCACCAATCAGAGGGAAGCTGAAATCCTTCCGTTTCGCTTCGGGCTTTTCCAGGTCCGATGGCAGCGCGGTGCCTTCGGAAATGCTCATGGTGTCCAGCAGTCGCCTGCTGGAACTGCCGGCGGTGCCTTGATCAGTCAGCCCGAGCGCGCTCTGTTTTGGACCTCCATTTCTGGGTTTGATCTTTTTTGTTTGGGGGGGATCATTTTGTTGTTTGGCCCAAGAACAAGGGGTGGGTTTTTCACACTTTCGTCCCGAAAGTTGAAGAGGGGCCGCCGGGTTGCAGCTTTTGGGTGGGGAAACTGATGGGCCTTGGAAGTCCTACCGGGAATCGGTCGAAATGGCTTTGGGACGCCCACACGGGTGCTTGTGCTGTCGGCTTTCTTTAAAAGCATCCCTGAAATGGGCATCCTCACAAGACACAAGCACAACACAACACAAACACAAGCTCAACAGAAGCATCCACCCACACAAACACAAACACACAAACACAAACACAAACACGGACACAACACACACACACACACACTCACAAATGTGGAACCCGTACAGTTACAGTTGGCAACCAAAGTCCCGTCATCCGACGTTCATGGTGTGAGCTATCCGCTTGTTTGATTGGGTGGAGAATCCTAAGCACGCCCGGGATTCGCAAGTAAGTTTCTGAGGATTGGACAATCCCATCCTTTCAACAGTAAACCGCTGTATTCCCTTCCGAAGCAAGGTCTTTCGCCGGGTGGAGACAGACCTGATCCCGAAAAACGGTGAGCCTAAGGGCCATGTTGCAGATGGTTGCGGATTTTAAGAGGCATTATATACTGGGCCCAAAGTGAACATGTTCAGGGGTTCTCAGAGTTACTTTCCTCCAATCCCTCAGCATTCCAAGCTGGCTTGGGATCTATGGATTCGTCTCCCAGGAGGAGAACTGTGACCAGTTTCCCTTTGAGTTTCCGCACGGGTTTTTCTTTGAAACGCAACAGAACGACGCACACATAAGTACTTGGCTTCCCGATAGTTCCTCCTTTGCCTTGCCATACGGTGCCATCCTCTCCTTTGTTTTGGGTCTCTGCAAACCGCGGCTTCCCAGCGCTTTTGTAGCGCCAAACTGGAAGAAGCTTTGGGCCCATAGCTGGGTGGTTCTGTCAACCTCGACAACGAGCAAGAGCGCTGGTCTCGCGGGTCTGAACACCAGGGTCTCAACCATCAAGCCAGAGCAGCGGCCAAAACCCCTCATGGCCATTTTAGTTGATGGTTCTACTACCTGGTTTCATGGGGTTGTTAGCAAGGCCGAAACAAAAGTATAATCAAATCTTCATATCCATGTTAGTAGAACCAAACCGCACTGGCTCAGCTGAAACCCGCGGTTTCCCTCTCACCAGCCCCCCGAGGCTTCAGTCGCATCGGTGGCGTCGAAGAAGGGCGATGTCCTGCACCACTTGGAGCAGTGCGCGCGGGTGGTGGGTGCGGCGGGGCTCCCGACGGCTCCCCATAGATCCCCTTTCTGACTAAGACATTACCTGGGCCCGACGAGGGCGTTCTCTTTTGGACTAAAAAGGAGCCTGCTTGGGGGTTGGGGTTGGGGTTGAATGGTTGTGAGGATAGGTTTTGGGGATGCTTGACACTTTCAGAGCCGTGCATGTGCAT